GTCATAAAACAACATGTGTACTACTGTTTCATGAGAAACTATTTGTTCTGTAAGCCTTCACCTGAAGTACAATAAATAAATAATAATAATTTTGACATTACTACCTTCATTTTTATTTTCATATAAAGTGACATTTTCAGGGAGAATTATGAAAAAGTATTTTTCTAGAATTATTAAATATAGAATGCTCTTTCGTGAATGTCCATATAATTTTAATTCTGACATGAATTTGCCTTTTCTAATAGCTGCTGGACAGGTGTTTCAGAATAGGGTGTTGGATGGTGTAAAGTCTCTTAAAGGTGAGAATTTAAACATGAAATTCTTAGGTCTATATTTATACCACCAGATTCTGAATGTTATAAACTGATTCCTTAGTTATGTTTTTTAAGGTATCTGTATTTTATCAGATAATGTCCTTGATTGTATTTTTGCATCAAGATTTACCTTTTCCCAAACTTCACCAGGGGGGAAAATGGTTTTAAATCTATATATATAATATACTACAAGAAATTATTTATTTTAGAAGTTTGGGACAAGTAAACTGGGAGTTTAGATGACAAAAATAACCTCTATTATTTCATAAAACTATGAAATTAGTTATTTATGCTCCAGCTAAAAAAGGTCTTAAGAACTGTTTTGCTGTGTTCCCTTATCCCCAAGTCAAGGTTTCTTTAAGCAAGTTTTATTTATAACTCTGCTATTGAATTTTTCAGTCCTAGATATAGCTTATTTTTATCTTTGTTTTTCCATTATATTTCTAAGATAACAGTTGCCATTAAAGAAAATAATGTTTGGATATGAATATATTTTTAATGCTTTTAAGTCATTTAATTTGTCTCATTTTAATTTGCTTTATTTTTCTAAGGAGCGATGGTTAACGTCAGTGACCTGAACAAAGTTCTTGGAAACTTTGGAATTAAACTCACAGAAAAAGAACTTGAAGGTCTGACAGAAAACCTTCCAGCTGATGGTGAGCATTGGAATATATGATCTATCCCAGGAGCCCTGACCTTCAAGGGAATATATCTAAATATCTGCTAGATATTTCTATTTAAATGTCCCTGGGGGCTTCAAAATTTAACATGGCCAAAAAGGAATTAAGTAGACCCCTACTGATATTCTCTGGGTTGCCTAGTCTCCTGATAGGCTTGAAAACTGGAATTATCCTCCACGCTACTGTTTTCTTCACCCACTCCCCCAATTAAACTTGATTCAATATCCTAAAAAGCTTTTTAATTTATCCCTGTTTGTTATCGCTGCCCCTGTTTCAGTCCTCTGTCATCTGTGACTTGTTCTACTACAGAAGCTGTCAAACTAGTATTTATAACCCTAGACTTTCCACTTCATCAGCGATTTGACATTGTCAGACATTTAATTATTTTTTAACATGATTGATATGAAATAGTAGCTCATCGTTGTTTTAAATTGCATTTGCTGATTGCCAGTGGGGTTAATTATCTTTTTATATTTTTATTAGCAGGTATCCTCTTCTGTACCTTTTCATATATTTTGCCTATTTTCTGTTGTATTATTTGCATTTTACTGATTAACTTGTAGTTCTTTATATGTTCTGTATATTAATCATTTTTGTGTTTTATATATACAAGAAATGTCATCTGCTGGTATGTGGCTTATCGTTTTGCTTAGATTATCATCTTTTATTGAACAGAGGTTCTTAATTTTAATACAGTTAAATTTGTCACCATTTTCCTTTATAATTTGATTTTTCTCTAAGAAACCGTTCATTATTTTCAAGTCTTAAAGATTTTTTCTATACTAGTTTAACATTTTTTAGCATATTTCTCTGTAAAAAAAAACCAAACCCGTTGCTGTCAAGTCGATTCTGACTCATAGTGACCCTATAGGACAGAGTAGAACTGCTGCATAGGGTTTCCAAGGAGCAACTGGTAGATTCAAACTGTTGACCTTTTGGTTAGCAGCCAAACACTTAACCACTGTGCAACCAGGGCTCTTGTTTCTCGTTTTGTTTATAAGTTAGAGATCTATTTTTTTTCTATACGGATAGCCAATTTTTCATTAGACTTTCCCCCACTGATTTGTAATGCCAACTCTATCATATGTGCTAGAGTCTGTTTCTAAGTTTTATATTATATTTCATTGGTCTTTTCTATATTCTTCTACCAATGCACTCCACTACCTCAATAATATGCCTTTGTACTAGTAAATGTTAAAATCTGGTAGTGCAAACACCTCTCCTTGTTTGTGAAAATTATCTTGGCTATTTTGTAGTCCTTACTCTTCCATATGAATTTTATAATAATATTTTGAAGTTCCATAATTAATACCATTGGAATTTTGATGGAAATTGAGTTAAAATTAGTATTGCTGGTGTTTGCAAATTCTGCTAATTTTTCTATGTTGATACGGTTTCCCCCAACCCTGCTAAAGCCTTTAACTGATTCTAGGAGGCTATGTATTTAGAAATCTTGTGACTTTTCTATATATAGATAATAGTATGTCGGGAATAATGATCATGTATCTTTTCTATTCTAATTCTTAAACTATTCGTTTTTTTTTTTTTTTCTTGTCATATTTCATTGGCTGGGAACTGTAGACCAATGTTGAATACAACTCAGTTCTCATTGATCAAATTATTTCACACGTTCATTCCTAAATCAGTCACTTGGCAGGGGATATAGAACCATCTTTTTTGGCTTAGACCAGAGGTTCACTAGAATTTATATTAAAATCAACTTAGGAACATTTCTTTTTGAATTCTAAAACCCAGGCTTCAGTTGAATTCTAACCTCTGGAGTCAGGTGCAAGCTTCTGTATTTTTTAAGTGCCCCAGATGATTTTGAGGCACAATGAAGGTTGAAAACCACTGTCTTAGATCCATCATTATCCACATCCTGGGTGGCACTTATTAGGGGCCCAGTCTCATCTGAGGGGCATGACAGAGGGTGTACAAAATTAGAGTTCTGTTAGCAGAAAGAACAGTAGGTAAAATGGAATGGCTGATTGGTGCAAAACCAGCAATGTCTACCACATATTCCCAAAGCCTACTACATTGACAGATTCATGTTTGGATGCTTTACATATTTAACAAATTAATGAATTACCGAACCGAACAAAAACATTTTAATGAGAAAGAAAAAATTCCTTCTGTAGAGAAGCTTTAATTGTAGAACAGTTTAATAGTTGCCTAAAATGTGTAGAAGTCAAGTATTGCCGGTCAGTCATGATAGTTGAAAATATTGGAGAAAAATATTTTAGCAAAAGATGGAAGAGGAACAGTGTGAACTCTTCTCCACTGTGGTGACCACTGACTGATCTTCACGTCTAGTGTAAATCATAGTTTGTACTCCTTGTAAAGCAGTATATAGCATCCCATGAGCTAGAAAGATGCTATCGTCCAGGAAACAGATGGTTCTTAATTTCATTGGCTGAATTACTAAAATGTAGTAGTTATATTCATACACACACAAAAAAGACCAGACTTACTGATCTGATAGAGACTGGAGGAACATTGAAGACTATGGCCCACAGACACTCTGCTACCTCAGAACTGAAGCCACTCTCAAAGTTCACCTTTCAGCCGAAGATTAAACAGGCCTATAAAACAAACAATAACACATATAAGAAACGTGCTTCTTAGTGCAATCAAGTATAATAGACAAAACGGGCAATACCTTCCCAAAAGCAAAGACGAGAGGGCAGGAAGGGACAGGAAAACTGGAGGAATGGACGCAGGAACCGGGGTGGAAGGGACAGGGGAAGAGTGCTGACACAATGTAGGGATTGCAACCAGTGTCACAAAACAATTTGTGTATAAATTTCTGAATGAGAAACTAATTTGCACTGTAAACTTTCACCTAAAACACAATAAAAAAAATTTTATTGTAGTAATTATAAATTAAGTATAGCTTTAGAAAATACAATAAGAAGAGTAGATTTTGACTAGAATCTATAAATAAATACTCTATACCTTTTTTCTGAATCTGTACCATTTTTGTTACCTGTGCTTTTTCTAATAGTTAATGGGAAGATTGTTCTCAGTAAGCTAATGGATAAAGTAAAAGCTGTTATAGGTGAGTGGCAAGATACTTGGAATCTAAGAACATAAATAATCATCCTAAATTATATTTTAGTGATATTTTAATCATAACTCTTGTCTTATTTATCTATGTATTTTTCTTTTTATTAATGAAAGTCCTAGATCTAATTTCCCAGAGCTGAACTATGGATTATCTATATTTTGATAACAGTACTCCAGTGCAATATCTTCATAGCAAGTCTTTTAGTCTATGAAATATTTATAAATAATATATTTTATATCTACTGAGTTTAAATGGAGCCCTGGTGGTGCAGTGGTTAAAGCGCTCGGCTGCCAACCAAAAGGTCGGCTGTTCGAACTTACCAGCTGCTCCCTGGGAGAAAGATGTGGCAATCTGCTTCCATAAAGATTTACAGCCTTGGAAACCCTATGCGGCAGTTCTGCTGTGTCTTATAGGGTCACTGTATGGTCCCTGTGAGTTGGAATTGACTTGACAGCAGTGGGTTTGGGTTTTTTGAGTTTAAATGACCAAAGTATAGGTTACTACAGTGGATGAAGTAAAGCTTCAATAAAGATATAAGTAATTAAATAAAGACTAATATCAATCCCATCTAGTAACTAAATCATAAAGCTCAATCATCTAAAATTTTCTAATTTATAGTGGCACTTTATATCCCTACATTTTATTCAATGCCATATTACCCTGTCCACATGATTATGAGAGAATACATTTTACATGTGTTTATATTGAAGCTTTATTTGTGATCAAGTAACTGAGATCAACGTTACATCCAAAAAAAACCCTGTTGCCATTGAGTTGATTCTGACTCATAGCAACCATATAGATAGAGTAGAACTGCCCCATAGGCTTTCCAAGGCTATGATCTTCACAGAAGCCAACTGCCACACCTTTCTCCTGTGGAGCAGGCTGGTGGGTTCGAACCTCCAACCTTTTGGTTATCAGCCCAGTGTTTAACCACTGCGCCACTAAAAACCAAACCAAACCCACTGCCATCAAATTGGTTTCAACTCACAATGACCCTGTTTTTGTTAGGTGCCGTTGAGTCAGTTCTGACTCATAGCAACCCTATAGAAAAGAGTAGAACTGCCCCATAGAGCTTCCAAGGAGCACCTGGTGGATTTGAACTGCCAATCTTTTGGTTAGCAGCTGTCGCTCTTAACCACTACGTCACCAGCATTTCCCATAATGACCCTAGGGCTCCTTAAATGCTACATAGAAAAAGATTATTTTTATATTTTAAATCCATAAGTAATTTAAAAATACTTACATTTTATAATTTTTATCTATTTGAAGGAGAGGACATTGATATCGCTGACATACAAAATTTTCTGGAAAACATGGGGATAGAACTTACAGATAAAGAATGCTTGGAGTTGGTGAAAAAGCTGCCAGTTGTTGGTAAGCATTTCAAATACTCATATAATAATGTTCTCAACTGGTGGCAGTTTTGCTCCTAAGGGGACATTTGGCAATGTCTGAAGACATTTTTGGTTTTCACAACTGGGGGTGAGAGGAGGAGGTGCTACTGGCATCTAGTGGACAAAGGCCATGAATTACTAAATGTCCTACAATGCATAGGGTGGCCTGCCACAACAAAGAAGTATCCAGCTCCAAACATTAATAGTGCTGCTGTTGAGAAACTGCAATATAACCTTCAAAGAGAGGTAGATTTGTATGCTTATATGTAAGAATGTCACCATTTGATGATCAAGAAAAAAAAACCTGTAAAAAAATGATAATAACTTAGTTATACCTGACTGATAGCGACCCTATAGGACAAAGCAGAACTGTCCCATAGGGTTTCCAAGGAGCACTGGTGGATTTGAACTGTCACCCTTTTGGTTAGCAGCCGAGCTCTTAACCGCTGTGCCACCAGCTCCAAAGAAGTCTTACTTGTGTTAATTTAGTTCTTTGTTTGAAAATCAAGAAACACATCCATTATAGTGAATTAGTGCTAAGAAATGGCTGCCATTATCTACTGGGATGCTTAAAGTTAAGCAAGGAAATTTAAGAAAAAGGAAGTGTGGTGGTATACTAAGAAATCATAATGAGAAAAATAAAAGGAGGCGGGACTTAAAGACTATGCTTTAGTAGAGTAAAATAACAATGATATTTGCCTTACATTCCAAAGAGAAAGTACAGTGGCCACATTAAGGCAGTTCTGTATTTCATAATGTCTTTATAAAAGTTGATATAAATTGAAAGACTTTCTATTTTTCTGTATTTCTATACCTGTATTTCTGAAATGATGATTTTGTACTGTCTTAGAGATTCTGATTTCTCTTTGACCTGGATTTTGTGTTTTCTTACAGCTGATAGAAAGATTTATCAGAATAGATTGCTGGAAGGTATGAAGACTTTTAGAGGTAAGAGACCATAATGAAAAAACAGATGAATTTGAAGTCCTCATGATTTGCGTTTAATCTATTTCCTAGACATTTAACTATAAAGTCTGACTATCATATATGTTGACTCCATCTTTATAATTCTTCTATAGAGCATTATATTCTGTAATTTACCATTTAATTTTGTGTGTTGTATTTTTAGAGGAAATTTCACGTTCCTTTCGGATTTCTCAGGTTGTGACAGGGCTTGAAATGATCAAAATCTAAATCTATACCATAAAAAAATAAAGGAAAGGACTTGGTTTATTCAGTAAATTTAATTAACAGTAAAGTCAACCAATCTGAAAGTTCAATCAATAACAACAACATTATTAACTGTTAAAAAAAAAAATTGGATTGTAGAGGCAGAGCTGACATGGTGCTATAGACAGAAGTACCATGCCACCCCTCTACAGTAAAGACCTGAAAAACTAAGGAAAACAGATACAAAGGTCAACCCTGGAACCCTAAGCATCAAATAAAGGGATAAAGAACTCGATCAAGCATCAAATGGAATAAGAAACTGACAGAGAACAGAGAACGAGGAAAGCTACAAAATGGAGGTTCCCTACCAGCTAACATGGCACAGATTCACCATCTTGGAATACAGCCACCAAGGAATGCAGACAGGGAGTACAGGATGGCAACTTCACATAGCTCACAACAGGAGACAGAGCACCTGGTAACCAGGGATACTCGCTTTCCTACCTCCCACCCTTCTTCCTTGTATGAGGCCTCCGCCACTTTCCAGCATGCCACAGTTGCTCAGCAGGAGAGACACCAGCTCACCAGCACCTGTTTTCACCATCTTGAACCTCAGCTACCAAGGACTGCAGACAGGGAGTACAAGAAGACAACTTCACAGAGCTCCCAACAGGAGACAGAACACCTGCTTCACACATCATATCCTCTCCCTTCCCTCCTGCCTATGAGCACTGTGCACTGAGTGCCACACTCCCAAGAGACACAGGCATGAACCACCAGACCCCACCCTGCACTGCCCCCTGACCACACCCTGTCAGCCCCAGTACATGCCACAAACATCGCATCCTTGCCTCCCTCCCCCCACCGTGCTGGACCTGCTCTGCTGCACCATAACTGAGCAACCAGCCTTGTCCACCTGGACAAGGTGGTGAGAAGTATCGTGCCCACAGACAAGCAAGCAACAAAGTATGCCCAGCCCGCCAGCCCATACAAAACCAAATAAAACATAAAAGGAGAACAAAACAAACAAGTCTACAATTAATAAATGAAGAAAATCATTCCTGAATGTCCCAAAGACAGCAGACAATATCAAAACATACAAAAAAAAAAAAAAGGATGGGATGGCTCCAGAAAGCAAACAAAATAAAACCCTAGTTGACCTTCTGGTAGAAGAAAAGGCACTGGAACTATTTGTTAGGGAATTCAAAGCCCTAATATTCAGGGCTCTCCAAGAGATGAAGGAAAATGCAGGCAAAAATAAGGAAAAAATAGACAAAATCATGGAAATACAGATAAAATCAGGGAAAACACAGGCAAAGCAATGGAAGCATTCAGGAAAATAATATAGGAACAAAATGTCAAAATAAACAAACAACTAGAAATCATACAAAGACAGCAATTAGAAATCCAAAAGATAAACAACAAGATTTTAGAAATGGACAGTGCAATAGAAGGTTTTAGGAGCAAATTTGAAACAATAGGAGACAGGATCAGCGAAATTGAAGACAAATCCTTGGATACCACTTTGTTTGAGGAAAATTCATAGAAAAGAATGAGGAAAAATGAAGAAACCCTGAGAACAATGTGGGATACAATCAAAAGCAAAAATTTGCGTGTGATCGGAGTTGCAGAACGGGGAGAAAATGGAAAACACAGAAAGGATCGTTGAAGATTTGCCGATGAAAATTTCCTTAATATCACGAAAGATGAAAAACTGACCATCCAAAAAGTTCAGTGAACCGCATATAGGGTAAACCCCAAAACAAAATCACTAAGACATGTCATAATCACACTCGCTAAAGACAAAAAAAGAATCCTAAGAGCAACTCGAGGAAAACAAAAAGTCACATACAAAGGAGAAATAATAAGACTGAGCTCTGATTACTCAGGAGAAACCATGCAGGCAAGAAGGCAATGGGGATGACAAATATAAAACCTTGAAAGAAAAATATTGCCAACTGTCTTAGTTATCTAGTGCTGCTATAACAGAAATACCACAACTGGATGGCTTTAACAAAGAGAAAATTATTCTCTCACACTCTGGGAAGCTAGAAGTCTAAATTTAAGGTGCCAGCTCCAGGGGAAGGCTTTCTCTCTCCGTCGTCTCTAGTGGAAGGTCCTTGTCATCAATCTTCCCCTGGTTGAAGAGCTTCTCAGTGCAGAGACCCCGAGTCCAAAGGACACACTCTGCTCCTGTTGCTTCCTTCTTGGTAGTATGAGGTCCCCATGTCTCTCTGCTTGCTTCTCTCTTTTATATCTCAAAGGAGATTGGCTTAAGACACACCTAACCTTGTAGATTGAGTCCTGCCTCATTAACATAACTGCCACCAATCCCATCTCATTAACATCATAGAGATAGGATTTACAACACGTAGGAAAATCACATCAGATGACGAAATGGTGGACGATCACACAATACTGGGAATCATGGCCTAGCCAAGCTGACACATATTTTTGGGGGACACGATTCAATCCATAACACCAACCAAGAATAATATATGCTTCAAAACTTTTGCTAAAATATGATGGCGAATTTAGGACATTTCCAGATAAACAGAATATAAGGGAATATGTAAAAACCAAGCCATACTTGCAAGAGTTATTAAAGGGAGTCCTGTGGTTAGAGAACCAACAACATCAGACAACAACCTCAATCTAGGACACAGGAAAGGATCAGCCAGATACTGACCTAGGTAATGAACTCTCAAGAGTAAAACTGAAAGATTTACAACAGGTAACCGGAGAGGTCAATCTGTACATGACAACAACATCAGAACAATAAAAGAGGGAATAAATGGTGTAGGTATAGAATGTTCAAATAGAGAGAAAGTCAAGTTGATATCATGTAATAAAAGTCTGGTTAAAACTTAGGAAGATTGGGATAAATTTCAAACACAAAGAAAGTTAACAAACCTACTTATCAAAATAAAGAAGAAAAACAAAGTATCAGTAAAGACAAAATCTACAAAAACAAAAATGGAAAAAAATTCATGAACAAAAGGAATTCAGTACAGGAGAATAAGAGGAACAAAGAAAACATCAGCACCACACACACAAAAAAACTCTATAAAATGACAACAGTAAACTCACACTGAATGTAAATGGCCTAAATGCACCCATAAAGAGACAGAGGGTGACAGAATGGATAAAAAAAACAGGACTTATCAATATGCTGTCTACAAGAGACACACTTTAGAAACAAAGACATAAGTATATTAAAAATCAAATGATGGAAAACAGTATATCAAGCAAGCAGCAACCAAAAAAGAGTAGGAGTGGCAATACTAATCTCAGATAAAATAGACTTTGAAACAAAATCCACCATAAAAGTAAAGGAAGGGCATTATATAATGATTAAAGGACAATCCACCATGAGGACATAACCATAATAAACATCTATGCAGCCAATGACAGGGCTCCAAAATAATAAAACAAACTCTAACAACACTGAAAATAGAAATTGACAGTTCCACAACAATAGTAAGAGACTTCAACACACCATTCTTGCTAAAGGACAGAACACCTTGAAAGAAACTCAACAAAGATACAGAAGATCTAAAGGCCACAATCAACCAACTTAACCTCATAGACATATATAGAACCTCCATCCAACAGCAGCAAAGTACACATTCTTTTCCAATGCACATGGAACGTTCTCCAGAATAGACCACATCTTAGGCCACAAAGCAACCCTTAACAAAGTCCAAAACACTGAGATAATACAAAGCATATTCTCTGATCATAATGCCATCAAAGTAGAAATTAATAATGGAAAGAGCAAGGAAAAAATCAAATACATGGAAACTGAATGACACCTTGCTTAAAAAACACTGGATGATAGAATAAATTAAAGATGAAATAAAAATATTCCTAGAATCAAAAGAGAATTAAAACACTTCATACCAAAACTTTTGGGACACAGGAAAGGCAGTGCTCAGAGGTCAATTTATAGCAACAGATTCATACATCAAAAAAAAAAGAAAGGGACAAAATCAAAACATTAGCTGCACAACTCAAACAAATAGAAAGAGAAGAGCAAAAGAAGCTCACAGCCACAAGAAGAAGTAAAATAAGATCAGAGCAAAAATAAATGAAATAGAGAATAGAAAAGCAATAGAAAGAATCAACAAAACCAAAAGTTGGTTCTTTGAAAGGATCAACAAAATCCACAAACCACTGGCCAAACTGACAAAAGAAAAACAGGAGAGGATGTAATGGACCACAGCTACCAACGCCTCCACCAACTGAGTCCAGTACAGCTAGATGGTGCCTGGCTACCACCACTGACTTCTCTGACCAGGATCACAACAGAGGGGTCTGGACAGAGCTGGAGAAGGATGTAGAACAAAATTCTAACACAAAAAAAAGAGACCAGATTTACTGGCCTGAAAGAGACTGGAGAAACCCCAAGAGTATGGCCCCCAGACACCCTTTTAGCTCAGTGGTGAAGTCACTTCCAAAGTTCACCGTTCAGCTGGGGATTGGACAGCCCCATAAAATAAAATGGGACTAATGAGGCACAGCAGTCCAGGGACAAAGACAAGAAGGCAGAAGGGGACAGGAAAGCTGGTGATAGGGAACCCAAGGTTGAGTAAGGACAGTGTTGACATGTCATGGGGTTGTTAACCATTGTCGTAGAGAAACGTGTACTAACTGTTTAATGAGAAACTATTTTGTTCTGTAAACATTCATCTAAAGTGAGAATAGCAGCACAACTGGAAGAATGTAATCGATGTCACTGAATTATGCATGTAGAAATTTTTGAAATAGTGTATCTTTGGCTATGTATATTTTCACCAAAAAAAATAAATAAAAGGTCAAGAAGGGAGAGGGTTGACACGTCGTGGGGTTGTTAACCAATGTCATAAAACAATATGTGTACTGACTGTTTAATGAGAAACTGTTCTGTAAACCTTCACCTAAAGTACAATTTAAAAAAAAAAAAAAAAAAAAAACAGGAAAGGATGCAAATAACCCAAATAAGAAATGAAATGGGGGACATTACAACAGACCCAAATGAAATAAAAAGGATCATAACAGAGTACTATGAAAAACTATATTCCAACAAATTTGAAAACCTAGAGAAAATGGACAAATTTCTAGAACAGCCTACCTACCTAAACTAACACAAACTGAGGTTGAAGATCTGAACAGACCCATAACAAGAGAAGAGATTGAAAAGGTAATTTTTAAAACTACCAGAAAAAAAAAAAGCCCTGTCCCAGATGACTTCACTGGAGAATTCTACCAAACATTCAGAGAAGAGCTTGCACCAATACTACTCAAACTATTTCAGAACATAGAAAAGGAAGGGATACTTCTGAATTCATTCTATGAAGCCAGCATAACCCTGACACCAAAACCAGGCAAAGACACCACAAAAAAAGAAAATCACAGACCAATATCTCTCATGAATATAGATGCAAAAATTATCAACAAAATTCTAGCCAATAGATTTCAGCGTCATATAAAAGAAAAAATACACCACAACCAAGTGTGATTCATACCAAGTATGCAAGTATGGTTCAACAATAGAAAATCAATGAATGTAATCCAACACATAAATAAAACAAAAGAAAAGAATCATCTGATCATCTCAATCGATGCAGAAAAGGCATTCAATAAAGTCCAACACCCATTCCTGATAAAAACTCTCAATAAAATAGGTATAGAAGGGAAATTCCTCTATGTAATAAAGGGCATCTTTACAAAACCAACAGCCAACATCATTCTTAACAGAGAGAGGTTGAAAACATTCCCCTTGAGAATAAGAACAAGACAAGGATGCCCTTTATCACCACTCCTATTTAACATTGTGCTGGAAGTCCTAGCTAGAGCAGTAAGGCAAGAAAAAGAAATAAAGGACATCCAAATTGGTAAAGAAGAAATACAACTGTCCCTATTTGTGGATGATATGATACTATACATAGAGAACCCGAAAGATTCTACAAGAAAACTACTGGAACTAATAGAAAGATTCAGCAGAGTAAGCAGGATACAAGATAAATGTACAAAAATCAGTTGGATTCCTATACATGAATAAAGAGAACTATGAAAAATAAATCAGGAAAATGGTACCATTTATAATAGCCTTTAAAAAAATAAAACACTTAGGAATAAATCTAACCAGGGATGTAAAAGACCTATACAAAGAAAACTACAAAATGCTACTGCAAGAAACCAAAAGAGACCTACATAAATGGAAAAATATACCATGCTCATGGATAGGTAGACTCAACATTGTGAAAATGTCAGTTCTACCCAAAGCAATACACAAATACAATGAAATCCCAATCCAAATGCCACCAGCATTCTTTACAGAGATGGAAAAACTAATCATTAACTTTATATGGAAAGGGAAGAGGCCCTGGATAAGTCAAGCACTATTAAGAAGAATAGAATAGGAGGACTTTCACTACCTGACCTCAGAACCTACTATACAGCTATGGTAGTCAAAACAGCCTGGTACTAGTACAACAACAGACACCTTGACCAATGGAACAGAATTGAGAACCCAGATGTAAATCCATCCATCTACGGTCACCTGATCTTTGATAAAGGCTCAAAGTCTATCAAATGGGGAAAAGACAGTCTTTTTAACAAATGATGCTGGCAAAACTGGATGTTCATCTGCAGAAAAATGGAATAGGACCCATACCTCACACCATACACAAAAACTAATTAAAAATGGATCAAAGACCTAAATATAAATCCAAAAACTCTAAAGATCATAGAAGAAAAAATAGGATCAACACTAGAGGCCCTAATACATGGCACAAACAGGATATAAACTGTAACCAACAATACACAAATACCAGAAGATAAGCTGGATAACTAGAATCTTCTAAAAATTAAACATTTCAAACGCTCTTCAAAAGGCTTCACCAAAAGAGTAAAAAGAGAACCTACAGACTGCGAAAAAAAAATTGGCTATGACAAAGGTCTATTCTCTAAAATCTATATGAAAATCCAACATCTCTGCAATAAAAAGACAAATAACCCCATTAAAAAATGGGTAAAGGATATGAACAGACACTTCACCAAAGAAAACATTCAGGCAACTAACAGACACATGAAGAAATGCTCAAGATCACTAGCCATTAGAGAAGTGCAAATCAAAACTATAATGAGATACCATCTCACCCCGACATTACTGGCAGAAATCAAAAAAACAGAAAATAACAAGTGTTGGAGAGACTACAGGGAGACTGGAACTCTTATGCACTGCTGGAGGGAATTCAAAATAGTACAACCATCTTGGAAAACAATATGGCGCTTCTTTAAAAAGCTAGAAATGGAAATACCATATGATCCAACGATCCCACTCCTAGAAATATATCCTACAGAAGAAATAAAAGCCATTGCACGAATAGACATATGCACACCCATGTTCATTGCAACATTGTTCACAATAGCAAAAAATGGAAACAACCTAAGTGCCCACCAACAGATGAATGGATAAACAAACTATGATACATACACAAAATGGAATACTACGCATCGGTAAAGAACAATGATGAATCTGCAAAACATTTCACAACATGGATGAATCTGGAGGGCATTATGCTGAGTGAAGTAAGTCAATCACAAAAGGACAAATATTGTATAAGACCACTATTATAAAAATTCATGAAAAGGTTTACACACAGAAAGAAACAATCTGATGGTTACTAGGGAGGGGAGGTACGGGGAGGGACAAACACTAAATAGACAGTAGATAAGGGGTAACTTTGGTGAGGGGTGAGACAGTATACAGTACTGGGAAAGCTTGCATAATTTGACCAAGGCAAAGTCATGGAAGTTCATAAACACATCTTTGAGGGACTGAATTACTAGGCTGAGGGCTGGAGACCATGGTCTCAGGGAATATCTAGCTCAATTGGCATAATATAACTTAAAAAGAAAACGTTAAATTGTTTAATGAGAAACTAATTTCCTCTGTAAACCTTCACCTAAAGCACAATTTAAAAAAAAAAATTGCTTTGTCTCCAATACTGTAATTCCCAAAAGGGTTATACAATCTACTTTAGATTGCATGTAGTGTAGACTTGATCCCAAGCCTGGCTCAAGAAAAAGTTCTTATTTTAACTCCATCGTTGATCCTTTTCTACGTGCTTAGACAGACTCATTTGACTTTAGGTCTCATGCTGAAAATGATATAAATTATGGTACTACAGGTAGTAAATTTTTATCTCATTGTAGAGTTAATGTATTTTGCCATCTCTTTTTTAAGGAGGGAAAATTGATGTTGATAAACTGGACACAGTTCTGGAAAACATGGGGATGAACCTCACAGAAAAGGAACTCAAAGATCTGATACAGAGCCTGCCAGTTAACGGTGAGCATCTAGATTATCATTCAGAATCAGAGTAGCAGGGTAGTTAAAGGCAAAGACTCTGGAGTCAAACAGCCTGGGTTTGAATTATGGCTGTTCTGCCTAACAGCTCTGTCATCTTAATGTGTCTATGCCTCAATTTCCTCATCTATGAAATGGGTGCATTATTAGCACTTACTTTATAGAGTTTTTGTGAGGATTAAATTAGATCAGTGCTTAGTACATAGTAAGTGTTCGATAAATGTTGCTTATTATCACCATTACTATTATTATTTTAGGCCTCTCTGAAAACTTAGGCCTGTAAGATTATGTATAAGAACCTCTTCAAAATGTTTATTGGACAACAAGCCATTTTGAAAACTTTGAGAACCCAATAGTTAAGTAAGAACAAATCCAGTTTCTTGACACATCAATTTATGTTAGTGACTTCTTGCACTGTGAATCCTATACATTATTGAGAATGTCACTAGGACTACTGAAGGTCCAGGGAGGAGGCGGGGGGAGGGAGGAGTAGGGGGGAGAAACAGAGGGCAGGACCTGTGACAGTGAAATGGAAATATTCCAAACTTAAAACACTGAAATATGGTGTACACTGCTTTTTCAATTTTACACCAGCAGCCTGGCTAAATAATAATTTTCTAAGATCTAAATGTTAAAAAGCAGCTCAGCTAGAAAGGCCTGCTTTATACATCATTCTTCTATGGCTGAAAGATTTAATATCTTAAAGCAAAGAAAGTCAGTGTCACATTGTTAACATAGTTCTATTTGTGGACTTTAAAACTTTTTCTTTTGTTTCATACTAATGAGTGGAATAAAATTCTGGAGCAAATGATGATTACTAAATGTTCAATAAATGTTGCTTATTATCACCATTACTGTTATTGCTATAATCATTACTAGTATTATTAGTAATATGGGTGTTCTCTTGCAGTTGATGGGAAAGTTGGCATGAAGAAGGTGATGGATGAAGTGAAAGCTTTCACAGGTTAGTGATAAATTACTAATAAACTGAGGCTCCCAAGACATTACAACGAATAATTTTTCTGTGGTGTTTTTCCAATATCCTGCAGTTAGATCCAATGGAAAGTCTTGGATTATGTAAATCTAAATTTGGTAAAATGAAACGAAAACTAAACAATACAAAAAAATACCTGTAAGACTAAATCTTAGTAAAAAAATGCCACATTCTATAAAGCTTTTCTTCCTAATAAAAAGCGTCCCTGCATGAAACTCTGGGCAGGTATAGTAAATTTTTTAAGGATTTTGTTAGCATTTTCAGGAATTATATCATTAAAAAAATCCTATAAAACTTTCTTATGAAATTATTTATATTAGCCACTTATGTGAATTATCTGAATAATAATAGAGCTGAATTTATTTTGTGCAATGTTATATTTTTGCAAGAATTTAAAAAGAACATTTACCTATTAGTATTGAAGGAAAAAGTAAAGTTCTGATTCTCTCACCCCCCAAAGACTTTGTATAATGAACGAGGGGGCTACATTGTGCTTTTGTTATTCAACCTAAAATTTGGACTGTTTCTAACATTTTAAAGGTGAGAAGATTGATGTCAATAACCTGGATGCTGTACTAAGAAGTATGGGGATTGAACTTGCTGATATGGAATATACAAAGCTGCTGAAAACATTGCCAGTTAGTGGTAAGCCTAAAGAATGATGCTAGAACCTTCGTAACAGCTAGGTTTTGTAAGCCTGGGAGGGAAATTCTGAAGCTTTGTAATTTAATGCCTAAAAATTATTAGAAAATTTAAGTTCTGGATTATTTAAAGAACCTATCAACCGAATTGAAGGATATGCTGCAAAGTAAATGGCTTGTATTCTTCAAATATGTGAAAATTGTAAAAGAGAAGGTCTAAGGAATTGTCCCAGGTTAAAGAATAAAGAGATATAATAGTTTAATGTGACATATTTTTGCTATAAATGACATTAATGGTGGAATTTGAATAAATTCTGTAGGTTAAATAGGTGTACCTACCATCCCAATCTTAATCTTCTGACTTGGATAACTATACTGTGGTTATAAAATAGAAGATTCTATATATTTTTTATAAAACATAACTGTTTAAGTGTTAAGGGTATCATGTCTGCAACTCACTGTCAAACATTCAGAAAAAAATAACATGCACATACAGGAAGAAGATAAATATGGTAAAAAACATTTGGGAAATTTGGGTGAAGGATATATGAGAATTCTTTGTACCATTTTTGCCACTTTATTTAAGTCTGAAATTATATAAAAATTAAAAGTTAAGGCAATCCTGTCACTGGTACATGACTTTCGTTTGAGAGTCACTGAACTTTCCAGTGAAAACCTGCCATGAAGAAGTAAGCAAATAATTTTATGATACAGATGTAAGCCACCATGAAGATAAGAGTATCATGAACCCATGAATTCTTATGTGTTAAATAACGTACTGTGATAATTGAACTCTTTCAGTTTTCTAGTCTTTCTCCAGCCAATTTTGGTACTTTATATTTTCCTAGAATATTTATCAGTGTATGACACAGAGTATGGCGAAATATTCTCTTTTAATTTTTAAAAATTTCCTGTTTATAGTTATTTTCCCATTCTCATTTCTGATTTGCTGTATCTATGCTTTATCTTTTTCTCAGTTTTATTTTTTAACATTTATCTGTGTTATTGTTTATTTTCCCCCCAACAAATCAACTTTTAGACTTATTCATCAATTCTTTTACTTTTTGTTTAATTAATTTCTGCTTTAAGTTTGTCAGTTCCTTCCTTTTCCTGTCTTTTAGGACATGGGATCGCCATGAGTTGTAATGGACTCAACGGCAACTAACAACAGGACTTTGTTGTTCTGTTTTAGAGTTCTTAAGGTTAAATGGTTGGCTCATTTTATATTCATTTTTTTGTGTGTTAGCCTTATTTCATAGGTTCAGATATGTAGTTTTCATTGTCGTTTTTATTAAATAGCCTAAAAATTCTATTTGGATTTTTTTCTCTTTGACCCACTTGCTGATTAAAAAATAATTATAATATTTAGATATTATTTAGATATTAGACTTGTTCCTATTATTTAAACTTTTTATTTTGACGTAATTTTCAAACTTACACAAAAATTTTAAGAATAGTACAAAGAAATCCCACATACCCTTTACCCAGATTCATCATTTGTTTATAGTTTGCCCCATTTGCTTTATAACTTACTCACTCTCTCTTTCTCTCCTCTCTCTGTCTCTGTGTACACACGCATAAACATACACACGCATAAACATACACACACATACACTTTTTTAACCAGTTGCGGAAATCTTTACCCTCAAAAACTCAGAAATAATAAATGAAAAAAGTGATAAGCTTGACCTTACAAATATTTAAAACTTCTGCATGGAAAAAAAAAGTAAATTGGAAATTAGGAAAAACATTTGCAAAGGTATGACAAAGAAAAAATTATGACCTTTTTTATTTTTAATAAAAACACAACCCAACAGAAAATGGACACTGGACAAAGGATATCAACATGCATATATACATAGACATTAAATACATAAAGCACTTTTTTCCCCTAATCATGCATATATATGTAGACATTATATACATAAAGCACTTTTTTTCCCCTAATCATGTATATTTCAACATGGTAGAGTTCTACTAAAAATGGTCTTGTGGGACAAAGTATAAATGGTACGGTACATTTAAAGATTTCAGAATTCTTTAACTTTATTGCTACTTGGAGGTAAAATAGAATGAAATTGTCCTAGGACAAATCATTAAAGAGTCTTTCTTTTTTAATATAAGCAATGAAGTATATTTTTATTAACCCCGTCCTCAATTTCCCTGTCATAAACCAAGCCTTTTTTTAAAACAGGTGATGGAAAGGTGCATAAGAATAGATTACTGAAAGGTGTGAAGTCTCTCAAAAGTGAGTCAGAATCATAATGTGCTGGTGCTTTAGTCTGAAATCTTCAGGCTTTGCATGATAAATAGATTTTGAATTTTGTCTCCCTCTTTATATTTTTGCTTCTTATTTTTTCTTCTTTCAATGTATCCGCCCTTTACACAGAAATGCTGTATATACTTGTATCTTCATAGGAAATACCATACTATCCTGGAATTTTTCTAGATATGCACAGCAAAATTGAAGTAGAAGATTAGCTTCACTTCACTGCAGTTAGGAAAGTTATTCAGAAACAGGACTACTGACACAGCCAGTCTGGGAGTCTGGGCAATAAAATAAATACTTCTTACTATTTATTTGGAAACCCTGGTCACGTAGTGGTTAAGAGCTCAGCTGCTAACCGAAAGGTCGACAGTTTGAATCCACTGGGCTCTCCTTGGAAACCCTATGGGGCAGTTCTACCCTGTCGTATCGGGTCACTATGAGACGGAATCAACTCGACAGCAACAGATTTGTTTGTTTGTTTACTATTTATTAGGAGTATTAAAAGTAATACATAAGTAGGCTCCAGGGCCAGTTGCCATTAAGTCCAATAAACTTCTTAAGAATTTCTTTACCACCAATGACCTCCCTGACAGGAAACACAACAGAGAGTCCCTGATGGAGCAGAAGAAAAGGGGGGTTAACTCAAATTCTAGTAAAAAGACCAGACTTAATGGTTTGACTGAGACTGGAGGGACCCTGGAAGACATGGCCCCCGGACTCTCTGTTAGCCCAAAACTAAAACCATTCCCGAGGCCAACTCTTCAGACAAAGATTAGACTGGACTGTGGGACACAAAATGATATTCATGACGAGTGTGCTTCTTAGCTCAAGTAGATACATGAGACTAAATGGGCAGCTCCTGTCCAGAGGTGAGATGAGAAGGCAGAGAGGGTCAGGAGCTGGTTGAATGGACATGGGAAATCCGGGGTGGAAAGGAGGAGTGTGCTGTCACAGTATAGGGAGAGCAACTAAGGTCACATAACAATATATGTATAAATTTTTGTATGAGAAACTAACTTGAATTGTAAACTTTCACTTAAAGCACAACAATTAAAAAGAAAGAAAAAAAGAACTTCTTTACTCTGTAGGCTTGTCATCAATATAGGTGTTAAGTAAATGTATTTCATTTCCTTTGCTCCTCCTGACTATCTGTATTCTTGGAAAAGTCAAATGTAAATTATAGTCTTCTTATCAGAAATGGCAATAACAATACAAACATGCAAATTTTACTTTTCTGTTGTCTGTTTTTATTATAATAGTTATATATAATCATGTGCCTTTTCTGTCTTTCCTAAGGAGGAAAAGTTGATATCAGCCACCTGTACCCTCTTCTGGAAAAAATGGATATGAAGCTTACTGAAAAAGAACTCATACAGCTGAGAGAAATCCTGCCTGTTGATGGTATTTCCCCACTTTTCCTCATGGCCCACACTTTCTGTCTTCCTCTTGAGCACCTCTTCACTCACCTAAATTTCTGAATCAAAGAGAGTTATCAGGTGGCCTGGGAAAAATAGCAGAAACTAGCTAGTTTTCCCTGGCTCCCAGCTTGCCCCAAGTTGAGTTTAGCTCAGTGAAAACACCTAATCCCTGTGAAGAGAGTCGTACAAAGCCGATGCAGCCTAAGAATTTCCTTTCTTTATGGGTCATCTTTTATTTCTTTCAAAAAAAAATTTATATTACTGTTAAGGCTTGGGAATGTCAAGATTTGAAATTCTATAGGCAACATACAACTCCAGTACTATTTAAACATTCCAGTGAGGAGAGAAAGAATGAATTTTTTAGGAAACTGGCATACTGTTGGTATCAAAATTCAACACAGAGCTTAATTGGTTAAGCTGTATATTGTGTTTTAGACATTAAAAAAAATATAAAAGTAGATTTTTGTTAATCTCCTGGAAATTTGACACCTAATAAAAAGTATTCAATTGAAGACTTGGAAAAGCAAGATGAGCAAACCTTCCAGAAAGTAGAATGAAAACACAAAAGGAGTGAAGCGATGAAAAGAAAATAAAGTCTTAATAAAGGTAGTCTAGTATTAGATTAAGAAAGTGTACCAATACTGAAATTTGTAGATACCAAGAAAAAGGCAGAGAAAATGATCAAACAAAAAAATGAAAGAAAGTTTCTGAAAAAAAAATGGAGAACATGAATATCCAGCTGGAAAAGCCTGCTTAGTGACCAGCACAGATGAATGAAAATTTAGACAAAGCTGTATTACTGTAAAATTAAGAATCCCAAGAATTAATAAAAATAAATACAAAATTCTAAAAAAATTGGATGGACCAAAGAATTGAAGGCTTAAGTATATTTTAGAGTTATAGATGTAATCTATAAAAAATTAAAATATTCCAAAAAATATGTAAAGGGGATTAATGGATTGAGTAATACTAAAAGGAAATAATTTTCATCTTTTATTACAACTAATAGAAATTCTTTAATATTGATAATTCAAGAAATATAGGAATAAGCATAATGTTTATAGTTATGGAGGAAACAACGAGAAGAACAAAAGAAAAAAGCCAAAAAGTGGTTACTGTTGAGAAGTAGAACCAAGGGAAAGAGGTTGGGGATGGTTGGGAGGATTTCTGTCTGTATTTTATATGCTTATATATTGATTTTATCTCTTTTTAAATGGTAAGTGTGATTTTGTAATAACCTGTTAACCCGTTGCCACCCATTGCCGTCGACCCTATGGGACAAAGTAGAACTGCCCCATAGGGTTTCCAAGGAGCGCCTGGTGGATTCAAACTGCCAACCTCTTGGTTAGCAGCCATAGGTCTTAACCACTACACCGCCAAGGTTTCCGATTTTGTAATACTAAAGGTAATTATAAAAGTCAAATTAAAAATGAAATCAAATGCAGATTGGACTATATTATTCTTGAAGTTATAACCTCTCAGTGACTCCACATAACCTAGTGGATAAAGGCAAAACATCTTAAAATAGCTTCCAAGTCCCTCAATGATCTGAGTCCAGTCTGTCTCTTGCATAAACTTTCCTCCCCCTAATCTGCACTTTACTCTTCTGGCATGGTGAACTGTCATAGTTCTCCATACATGGCATATTGTACCTAGATTTGTTTTTCACATTTCCTAACCTCTTTTCCATGTAGAAGATTCTTCCCACCCACTCCCCCTTTCCTCTAGTGAAATTCTAATATTTTAACTCACTCAGGCACCACCTTCTCCAGGATGCGTTCATTTAAAACTCTAGGCTGTATTATTCATGGTTCCTATATGAACACTGTGGCAGTGCCTGAAGTAAGGGCTACTAGACAGCTGACCAATATCAAGGGGACCAAAAAACTCAAAAGAGTCCATTTTCCCTTTTTCAAACTTCAGGAGCCAAGAGATCTTTTTGCAAACATGGAGACAAGCTTAAATCCTTGAAATCCAGAAATTTAAGATAAGATAGGGTAAAATTATGATATGAACAGAATTTATCTGTGATTTTCTCTCAGTATACAACCTTTATATATGTTTTTCTGAACTCATAACATTGATTATGTTTCTCAGTATACCCTTTTCTTTATAGCTAATGGAAAGGTTGATCTGAATAAGGTGATAGATGGTATGAAAGAAATTACAGGTGAGTGAGAAGTTTATGTAAATATGAGATTCTAATTGTTTACAGTAATTATATTTTTCTTCATGCCTTAATTGCCATGCTAATTCTATCATTTTACCTCCTTTATATCTAGTAGCCTAGAAGTTGGAATATTTTCTGATTTTTTTTTATTAATATACTTCATTTTTCTTATTTTAAGACAGTCAAAATCTACAATAAAAGATGAAATAAATCTTTGGAAAAGACTATGGTGATCACTTAAAGGAGAGATGATAAATTTTTTAGGATATTAAGATAGACCTACTAGGATATGCCGTTTACAATTTGCTAATTGACAAAAGATCTACATAATGCTCATTTCTTTGTGACTGTCATTATGAGTATGTTAGTCCAAGATACCAAGGCAGGATTAAACATACACCAATTTTATTAGGAGAAATGCACGTGTAAGAGAAAAAAGGGAGGGAACCCAGAAAGGCTAGGAGACTGTCAGAGTATGATGCAAGTCTGAGCCCAAGTGAGGGAGAGAAGGAGAGAAGATTGGGTGGAAGCAACCTAGATTACCATGCAATCTGAGGAAGTTCTAATGAGGCCTTCAAGGAATCCTCCAGCCAGAGTCGGCCATCACAGGAGTCCCATACCTCTCAGAAGCAGAGCTCCCTTATTATTTCTGCTACACTCAGTCATTGGTGAGGAACAGCTTGTGGGAAGCATGACCTTAGTGCAAATACAAAGATGAATTTCAAAGCAGCAGCTGGGGCCAGTGGTCAATGTGCTCCCTGTGGTTAGAGGTCCTGCAGGCACATTCTCAGGACCCATTATGAATGCCCTGTCTTATCAGTCTTTAGAAAACAAATGTTTCTGCAAATGCCATTGTCTCTGTGTACTTGTCTCAGTCAATGTTCCTTTCTCCAGGCTATGCTTGTGCTCTATTAAAAAATAAAATCAAATCAAACCTGTTGCCGTGGAGTGGATTCTGAGTCACAGCAACCCTATAGGACAGAGTAGAACTGCCCCATAGGGTTTCCAAGGAGCAGCTGGTGAATTCGAACTGCTGACCTTTCAGTTTGCAGCCATAGCTCTTAACTGCTGCACCACCAGGGCTCATGCTCTATAGGCATCATAAATTAGTTTTGTTATTTGAAATCATTTGATTGTACTTAAATTCCATGTACGTCAATATTTTAATCTTTTCGTTAAGGAGGAAAGGTTGATATCAATGACATGAAAACTGTTCTGGAAAACATGGGGATAGAACTCACAGATAATGAATACTTGAAACTGGTGGGAAATCTGCCATTTGATGGTAAGAATTTCAAATACTGATATAACCAATAAGAGCTTTTAGACTTCTGGGTCTGTTTGACACCTCTAAACCTATCTCCACTTCCTTAGCTTCAGAAAATAGAAAGTCTATCTCAAAAAAAAAAAAAAGAATGTCCATTTATATCACCATAGATAGGTGAATCCCTGTCTATACAATTTTACTTTTAGATTGGGAATAAAATGAATAAAGGGAGAACTGGAGACAGTAAAAGAGGTGTGTGTGTTGTAGAGTGCCTGATGTGCTAAATTTCCCCCAAATTTTTTTATAAAATGAGAAATTTCTAGGGCAAAGCCTGAAAAGTCAGTTTTCCTGAGAGTACTTCAGCAATTGTCCACATTTCTCTGACTTGAATTCTTCCGTTTCTTACAGATGATGACAAGATCTATCAAAATAGGTTACTAGAAGGTGTGAAGTCTCTTAAAAGTGAGTAAGAAACATAATAAGATTGCAGATGAATATGGGACACTCATATTTATACTGTTTATAAGATTGCAAATTTGTGAATGCTGCCATCTCTCATATATACTGATTGCAAATTTATTCCCCACCAAAGATCAGTTCTTTTGTAGATAGGGTCACTATGAGTCAGAACCAACTTGACGGCACCTAACAACAACAACAACAAAGATCGATTATTATTTTAGCCAATGATCCTTTCTATTTTATATCTAGGAAGAAACGCCTCCACTCTTTCAAGATTTTTCCGAACTTTTCAACAAAAGAAATAATAGAATTTCAAGTTTGCATACCAAAATGTGACAGAAAAGATTAGCAGTGATTCAGGGAAATTTAATGAATAGCAGAAAAACTATGCTGGGAATTCTGTCATCAAAAGTCAAGGAGATTGTTCAGAAGTATTCAGAATTAAGTTATGGTCAGAAGTAAATAATATTTGCCTCCAGAACCGGAATCCCCTTAGCATTTATTCAACTCCATTTAAACTTTGTGTAGTGTAGGCTAGTCCCCAAAACAAGTCTTATCAGAAGTGACCTTAATTGTAACTTCATAGTTAACTTTATAGGCATAAAGTCTCTGGCCTCTTTGCTAAAACTGATGTTTATTCATATTTTAGAACAAGCTTTCTTAACCCATAGACACTGAGTGGTGTGAAGAGGGTCTGTGAATATGCTTGAGAGAATACATATCCCTCTGAAATTATATGTAATGTTTATGAGCACTGACATACAGTTCATAAAATTCACAACAGGGTATACGTCTCCAAAAAGTTTAAGAACTTCTCTCTTGGAGTTATGTAATTTTCTCCAAAAACTGTCTCTTTCCTTAGGTGGGAAAGTCAATGTCAACAACCTGGAGAATATACTGGATAATATGGGAATCAAGCTCGCATATAAGGAACTTAAAGATCTGGCTCAAAATCTCCCTGTTGGCGGTGAGCGAGTTTTCAGATACCATGGTTACTCTTGGGGAGCTTAGGTATAAGAACCATTGGTAGTAAAAGTCATAGCGAAAGGGGCTTTAGAAATGGTAACCTACCCTGACAGTAATCAAGAATGTTTGCAAAGCATGTAAGAAGCCAGTTACCAAAATTCATATTAAAACATTACAATTAATATGTATGACTTTTATATTTTATACCCATGTTATGCATGGTTGTTAGTAGAGAGTCTTGCAGATTTTTAATAGAAAAATGTAGGCTCTTGAGATGGTGCTACTTCTGAATTGCTTTCCTAGCATATACGGGTTTCACTAACATATGTGAGTTTGAAATATAATAGAACTGTTGGTAAAATTTACATTGTTGAAGTGCTTTGTGTTTTCACATTCAAGGTTTTCTTTCTAATATTCATGAAGGCAATAGAAATTGGATAAAAGAATAGCAAAGAAAATGTGTTCAGTAATCATTTCTTACATAAGTATAGGCACTTAGGAGATAGTGCCTGGCACATAATAAACAAGGACTTATTATCTTTGCTCCCATGCTGTCTTTCACTGTTTTATGAGTTTCTTATGTCTTAGTGTGACTTTGACTTCTTCCTATAGTTGATGAGAAGATTTCTCTAGAAACACTGATGAATAAAGTGAAAGTTTATACAGGTGAGTGAGAAGTTGCTATAAATCTGGTATTTCAGTCCTTTATATTAATTTTTTCAGTGTATTTTTATGTCTTATCTTATGAAATTCTAATATTTTATGATGAAATGTATGCATTGAAGTCCCCTCAGATTGACATAAAATTATCAAGGCTTTTACAGTAGGATTACAGACTGTTTAAGATCCTAAGGTCTCTGTTGTTTATGCCAATGATATGCTTCACTTCACCAATGTTTAAGTAAATATAATGTAGAGAAATATAGCAAATGGCATAGTGAGCTTAAATGATAAAGACAGTATAATCACCAAAATAAAATAATTTTCACCAAAACATAGTTTATGTAAGAATCTGTGTTTTCTTAATTTGCTCAACAGATTTTGTTCTGAAAGTTATTTTTCTCAACTTTAGGGAAAAGTCTCTTTGATTTATTTTAAGTCAAAAAATACCATAAAACATGCCCAAATATTCGACAGTTGGAAATATCTTCTTTTTACTTGGCTCTTCTTCCTGAACATTGGAATGACATTGAGCTGCATAGAAGAACTTGTTTTATAGAGATAATACCATAGTACCTAAAGTTCATATGTCTACCATCCCCTCTTTTCAAAGGAGAGAAGGTTGATTCTAAAAATCTGAAAAATGTCCTGGGAAACCTGGGGATTGAGCTCACAGATAAGGAACAAGAGAAGCTACTGAAAACACTGCCGACTGATGGTAAGCCATCATAGAGGTGTCACAGAGGACTTCTAGGAACCTCATTGTTTTGTCTGTGGGACTGGGTAATAAATTCCAAAACAGTTTCTGTCTTTTTTCTCTAAAAATGCAAAAGAAAATTTTAAAAAGTTTAAATAAATTGAGTTCTAAGTTATATAGCAACCTTGTCATCATGATTTAGAATTTATATTGGAAGTTGAGGAACCCTTCAGACAAAAGTTGACATTAACAGTTAAGCATGTTGTTAACTCTCAGGCTACTAAATTTGCTTTTATCATAAGCAGAAAAAAAGAAAAGAGAGAGAAATAGTAGACAGATGGGAAAAAATAAAGATAGGAAACAGAAATAAAAAGGAAGGGAAGCTATACTTACATTTCAGCAAGTAGACTCTCTCAGGTACTGGAATAGAAAGGTTTGTCACAATGAGAAAAGTAAGTTTCCATTGCTTAATTTCATTGTATTAGATGAAATAAAACAAAAATTAGACACAAAATTTTTGTTTGTTTGTTTCTTTTCCTTTTTTTTTTTTATATTTTATTGTACTTCAGGTGAAGGCTTACAGAACAAATAGTTTCTCATGAAACAGTAGTACACATGTTGTTTTATGACATTGGTTAACACCCCACAACATATTAACCCTCTGAATTCTCAACCTTTTTTTTTTTTTGGAAAATACACATAGCCAAAGATACACCGTTTCAAAAATTTCTACATACACAGTTCAGTGACATTGACTACGCTCTTCCAGTTGTGCTGTTATTCTCACTTAAGATGAAGGCTTGCAGAACAAAATAGTTTCTCATTTAACAGTTACTACAAATGTTGCCCTATGACAATGGTTAACAATCTCACCACACATCAATAATATCCTTCCTCAACGTTGGGTTCCCTATCACCAGCTTCCTTGTCCCCTGCTGCCTTCTGGCCCTTGTCACTGGACTCCTGTACCTCGTTATAGACACAAATATTTTTCAATTTATGCTATTTTGTGATGTCAGGTTAATTTCACTTTTACTTGAATTACGGCTTTTCTTACAGCTGCTGGAAAGGTGTTTCATCAGAGATTGCTGAAGGGTGTGAAATTTTTCAAGGGTGAGTAAGAAACCCAACTAAAGGGCATATTGTCTGATATCCCCAGATTTTATTGCCTTCCGTTATGAATCCTGGCTCCTCATTTTGGTATAATTCTTATTTCTGATTCTTTCAGCCTACTCACATTTTAACTGGTAACAGCATGTATTTTACCCAGCAGGAAGTTTCATTCTTTTCAACTTTGTATATGCCTCCTCCACCCTCCCAACAGAAATCAAACCCAGGAAGTCTCAGCATAAATGAAGTGAAGGACTAGCATTATTCAAGGGATTTGGTAAACTGTAAAAATAAGTAATACAGAAACCCAGGAAACAAAAATAACTCCTATTTATTGTGTACAACTATTGGTTGATTGTCTGCAGTTCCACTTGCTTACACCCCTTAACATTGTCATGTTCTATAGGCTTGTTACTAAAACAAGACTTAATTTTAACTATTTTATTGACTTTTTCTGTTTACTTGGACAAGTCTATTTGGGGTTTTAACCTTTTTGAAAATGGTAATTATACAAAGGCTTACAATATATTTTCTTTTTTGTCTTGTTTTAATAGAATTCATGGTCATTGTATCAGTTAGGGTTCATTCAGGGAAGCAGAACCAGTATGAATGACATGGAATAAGGACTTTGTTATAGGGATTAGACTTTAGGCAGTTGTGAGAGCTGGTTAAGAAGTCTATGAAAGCTGTTGTCTCTGCTTCTGGTGGCAGACCTGAAGTCCTGAAGTCGCTGTAGTCAGCAGAGCAACGACAGCTTGAGCAAGCTTCGGTGCATCTGGCATCCTTCCACCACATTTCACCGTGTAATCGTTGCAGCTTCATTTCTACTTTCCGAATCTAATGCAAATTTCTCTGTACCTAACCCTACCTGAAAACCATACAGGGAAGGGGATTCTTGGAAATGTAGTTCCAAACTAGCTAAGTTAAAGCAGTATAAAACCACCATGGTCATTAAACATACTACTAATAATATTACTCATGCAAAATTTTGGTATAATGTACTTTTTCACGTTCCTACACTATCTCTTTTCTAAGGGGGAATGATTCACGCAAATAACCTGGATAATACTCTAGAAAAGTTGGGAATCAAGCTCACAGAAGAGGAACTAACAAAGCTGTCAGAAAATCTACAAGTTGATGGTGAGTGAGCACTATAGATATCCTCGGGATATATTTTTATCTTTGTCTTGTATTGGATGCTTTTTAAAAAAAAAAAGATTTAATTGGTGACAGGTACATGTTACAAAGCTTGGAAAAGAGCCCAATATTAAAGTGAGAGTAAATCTTGGATCTTCATTACGATTAATTTGAAAGTAGTATCTTCTTTCCCTATGTTAACCAAGAATTGCTGAGGGTGCTGCCATAGAAGATTCAGATTAGTAAAAAAGCAAAATAATAGGAATATGAAAATCTATAGAGAAATCAGTAAGTGCATTTTTCTGTCCATTTCTCTGTCTACTAAAATCTTCACTCTAAAAGTAATTCAAAGATTCGCAAGTCCTTCAAACTCCATCTGCCTCTCTGATATCACTTCTTTTGTCATTTTTTCCTCCTCAAGCTATACTGAACTACTTGAAGTTCCACATACATAGCATGCCATCTCTAGGCTTTTTTCTCTTCTCTTAACTTCTCCAAGTATAAGTATCTTCCTTCCCTCTATATCTCTGTCAATCCCTACTAATACATATAGCTCATGCATTACTTCTTGCAGTAATCATTCAATAGGTTAGGTTAGTGGTCCCTCTCTCAACTTTATGTTGGGACTTGAAGTAAAATTATCAGAGCACTTGAACAACCCCAGTGGTATCTGCAACTATGGTTTATAATGGCATCCAAAGCAATGGAGAAAATACACTTTATTGACCCACATTCCAAGATATAAGAGACTTTTGTATTGGTAAAACTTACCTTAACTCCCTGAGATCTATAAATTTAATAAGTGGTCTCAGGTAACATTAAGATATAAGGCTATTTATCTGGGATATTTTTCCATAAAATATGTGTCTTAAGTTTGTTTTCTGAGCTTGTGACATTATCTTCATTGAGCCTTTTCTTATAGCTAATGGGAAGGTTGACCTGAAAAAGGTGATGGATGGAATAAAAGCTACTACAGGCAAGTGAAAAATTATAAATCTAAAATGTTTAGTGTTTACAGTAATTATATTTTACCATTATCCCTTAATTGTCATTTGCCTCCTTATTTATTAATGTTTAAAATCAAATATTAGCATTTCACTTATTTTCTGGTATGTTTTTAAATTGTTTCATACTTTGATCTTTTCATTTTTAGAACATTCAAAACCTAGATAAGTAAAATAATAGGTGAAGTAAAGCTTTGATAAAGACCTCAGATAATTTTTCAGATGAGACTAACAGGTTTCACCAGGTGCAGAGTTGCCTTGCCATTGCCATTACGTGTGCCTTCTTTTATTAGCATTTAGACATCAAATTATTTTTTTGTGAATATCTATTTCTTAGAAAACTCTCATGTCCTCTGCTCATGCTGCAAAGCCAGAAATTATTTTTCCTTATTTGGAGTCATTAGACATTAGATGAACCTTTAGGTTCATATATGTAATGATGACTATCTTTTTTAAGGAGGGGAGGTTGATGGCAGAGATGTGAAATCAGTTCTGAGAAGCATGGGAATAGAGCTCACAGATAAGGAAAGCTTGGAACTTGTAAAAAATCTGCCTTTCAATGGTAAGCATTTCAAATACTGATGTGACCTTAAAATGTTCTTAAATGTTCTTAGTTTTTTAAACTTTTTTTTTTTTTTGAAAATGTCTGAAGCTGTCCCCATTTCCTAAGAAGCAAAAAAATAGAAGTCCATCTCAAAACAGTTTAAATGTGTGTTTATTCCTGAGGAGGATTCCCATCTATACAGTTTAACTTTTAGTTTGGAAATAAGCGTCCCTATCATGCTGAATCATGTCATCAAGGAGAAGAAATTTCTATGGTTACCCCTCAGTCCACCAGGACACATGTAGGTGACTGTGGGAGAAGTAAGAAAGGAAAATGGATAATGTTAAGTTTAGAAGAATTTTGGAATTACAAAACAAAACAAAAAAAAGAGTTGTGCATGTTGTAGAGTGATGTTGGGCCAAATATTGGATAGATTCATCATATTACAAACTTTTCCCAATTTTCTCTCAGATTTATTTTTATAGGAGAAATGTCTAGGGAAAGTCATGAAAATCTCAATTTTACTGAAATAATTTTAGTGAATATCCATATAATTTCTCTATAACCTGAATTGTTCCCCTTTTTTTTTTTTAATAGATGATAACCAGGTCTTTAAGAACAGGTTGCTAGAAGGTGTGAAATCTCTTAAAGGTGAGTGAGAAGCATAATGAGAATGCAAATGAATCTGAGATTTTGCATGTTTATATGGTTTATAAGATTAAAGCTGTAAATGCTACCATCTTTTATATATACTAATGGCAAATTGATACCTTTTTTAGAGTTCAGTCTTTAGCAGATGAATCTCTCATGTTCTATCTTGAAATAAAATCCCACACTCTTATGATTTTCCAAACTTTTCAGGAAAGAAATTATCAAATTTAAAGTTTGCATAGCAAATAATGATATAAAAGATTATCAGTGATTCAGGGGATTTAGTCAGCAGCAGAAAAAATACTAACCTGGGAGTTCAGTTATCAAAAGTCACCCCCACATATTGTTCAGAAGTAAAAAATGTCTCCAGAACCAGAATCCCCTGAGCATTTATTCAACACCATTTAAAACTTTGTGTTTTATAGGATGGTCCCCAAGATAAGCCCCAAGGAAAATGGCCTTAATTCTAACTTCATAGTTGACTTCTTTGTAGGCTTAAAATATTTGATCCCTATGCTAAAATTGTTGACCATTAGTTAATTGATTTTTTTTTTTCACTTTAGAACAAACACTCTTAAATTTAGGTCAGTAGACTTTGAAAGGGTCCTTGAATAGGCTTTAATGAATACATAAAAAACCAGGTGCTGTGGAGTCATGTGTGTCAGAGTAGAAGTGTACTCCATAGGGTTTTCAGTGGCTGATTTTTCAGTAGTAGATTGCCAGGCCTTTCTTCCCAGGAGCCTCTGGGTGGATTCGAACCTCCAACTTCTCGGTTAGCAGCAGAGCATGTTAACTTAACCATTTGCAACACCCGGGGTCTCCAGTGAAATAACCCCCCTGAAATAGTATGCAAACTTTGTGAGTAATGACATACTGATCAAGAAATGCACGATGTGGTATGCGTCTCAAAAAAAGTTTAAGAACTAACTCCTCTTTTGGAGTCCTTTAATTTTCTTCACAGACTGTCAATTTCCTTAGGTGGGAAGGTCAATGTCAACAACCTGGACACTACTCTGGACAACCTGGGAATCAAACTCTCAGATGAAGAACTTAAAGATCTGATGCAAAGCATATGTGTTGGTGGTAAGCATGCTGTCAGATACCATAGTTACCCCACGAAGAGTTCAGTAAAAAGAATCTTTGAGCATATATTAGGAAAGAAGTGCCCTTTTCCATAGGAAGAAGGGAAGACCAAAGAAGAGCAGTGTGGTGATGCACCATGTCAGTGATCGAAACATAGTCAAAGTCATTTGAGCATGTATCAGCCAGTTAACAAAGTTGGTATCTGTGACTTGTATGCTCTCCATAAGTGCCATGGTTGGTAGCAGAGAGTCTTCCAAATCTTGAATAAATGAATGTAGACTCTTGGATTGCAACCAACATCACAAAACAATATATGTATAAATTTTTGAATGAGAAATTAACTTGAGATGTAAACCTTCACCTAAAGCACAATAAAAAAATAAAAAATAATTAAAAAAAAAGAATACAGACTCTTGAAATGGATCTACTTCTGAATCTTTTTCTCTTACTAACACAAGTAAGGAAACCTTGGTGGCGTAGTGGTTAAGAGGTACGACTGCTAACCAGAAGGTCAGCAGTTCAAATCCACCAGGCACTCCTTAGATACCCTATGGGGCAGTTCTACTCTGTCCTATAGGGTCGCTATGAGTCGGAATCGACTCGATGGCAATGGGTTTAACACAAATAAGTTTGAGCTATCACAGGACAGAAATTGTACCACTGCAATTGTGTATTTATCATATTAAGAATTTTCTTCTTTTTCATGCTTATTATAGGAGTAAAAAATTGGGTAAAATAATAGCTAGAAAGTGTGTTCAATAAATATTTCTTAAATAAGTATATAGAGCAGTTATGATGGGACCTGACATGTTCAGTGCTACTATTATTATAACTAAGGAGCCCTGGTGGCACAGTGGTTAAGTACTTGGCTACTAACCAAAAGGTTAGTGGTTCAAACCAACCAGACGCTTTGTGGGAGGAAGATGTGACAGTCTGCTTTTGTAAAGATTACAGCCTAGTGAACCCTATGGGACAGTTCCACTCTGTCCTGTAGTGTTGCTATGAGTTGGAATCGACTTGACGGCAAGGTTTTTTTGTTTGTTTGTTTTTGTTTTAATTATTATCATAATTATTACTATGCTTTTCCCAATTTTTGTCTGTATTATATCTCAGTATTATTTTGATCTTCTACAGTTGATAAGAAAATTTCTCTAGAAACATTGATGGAAAAAGTCAAAGATTTTACAGGTGAGCGAAAAGTTCATGTAAAATTAGGATTCTAGTTATCTGTCTACATTAAATTTTGGTTTTTACTGATGTTTCCCAGTACTCTATCATTGACCTGTAAATTCTGGTATTAATGAAATGTTTCCTCTAATGCCCTATGTATTGATACAAAATTATCTAAGTTCTTAATGAAATTTCAGAACTATTTCTTGCTTTCAAATTCTATAATCACTGTTGTTTTGGCCAATCATATAATTTACATCACCAGTGTTTAATAACCACAATCCAGAGAAGCACAGCAAATCACAGGGTGAAGCTTAGAAATAAGCAAGGTAATGTTTTTGTTGTGTTCATCACATAATTCTTATTTTAAAATCATAATACTTTTTGAAGGAAAATTTAAGTAAGCATCTGTTTTCTTAATTAACTGATCCAATTTTTTTCTGGAAGTTGTATTTCCCTAATTTAGGAAAAAATATTTTATTTATATTAATCAATTTGATCTAACATATCTGTTGATTCTATACTTTAAAATGTATTATTTTTGCTTTAGTTTTCAGCCTGAAAGTTGGGATGATGTTAATCATTGTAAAACAACTTTTGTGTTGAAAATAATTACTGCTATCTGAAATGATGATAAATACCTAATCTACTGTTTTCAAAGGGGAGAAGATTGATTCTAGTGATCTAAAACATGTGCTGGGAAACCTAGGAATTGAACTCACAGATAAAGAACTAGAGAAGCTGCTGAAAACACTGCCAGTTGATGGTGAGCCATATAAATGTCTCTGGGGGCTTTTGTGGAGCTTGGATTTGGGGGGATCTGTGAGAAAATTTTGATTGCTCTAAAACATGATAGAATAAAATTAAATAAACTAAAACTTAAGCTGTATATAAAAACCATCAGTGCCACTTACAGTTTATTTTGGAAGCCAAACAATCCTTCAGGTGTAAGTTTCCATAAAAGGCTAAGCAAATGTCTGTTGTTACCTCTCAGGCCACTAATAGGCTTGTATCACAAGAAGGGAAAAGAAAGAGATATGAGAGAGCGATGGAAGAAATTAATGATAAAAGTCAGAGTTAAAAAGAAAGAAAAGGTACATTTATTTTTCAGTATAGTAGGCCCACCAGAGAGGACAAGTTAGTCATATTAAGAAAGGCTTCTCTTCCTTAATTTCATTGTTATACAAAGATAAAACATTTGGGTAAAAGATTGTTTAACAACTTTAGTGAGATATAGTTCACATGCTATACTATTAACCCAATTAAAGAATACAATTCCATGTATTTTAGTATATTCACAGAGTTGTTCATCAATCACCACAATCAATTTTAGAACATTTTTATAACCCCAGAAAGAAACCTCGCACCCACTAGGAGTCAATGCTCAACCTCCCCATTGCCTCATAACTGTTAGTTGTTTGTTAGTTGCCATCAGGTCATCTCTGACTCATGGCAACCCCACGTACAACATAACAAAACGTTGCCTGGTCCTGTGCCATCTTCACAATCATGCTCAAGTCCATTGTTGGAGCCGCTGTGTATTTTGAGTGCGTTCCAACCTAGGGGGCTCATCTTCTAGCACTATATCAGACAATATTCTTTTGTGATCCATAGGTTTTTTTATTGACAAATTTTTCAGATGTAGAATGGCAGGCCTTTCTTCCTAGTCTGTCTTAGTCTGGAAGCTCTGCTGAAACCTGTCCACCACAGGTGACCCTGATGGTATCTGAAATGCCGGTGGCATAGTTTCCAACATCATAGCAACGAGCAAGCAAGCACAGTATAATAAACTGACAGATGGGTAGTGGCCCTCATCCCTAGGCAACCAGTGATCAACTTTCTGTCTCTATCAATTTACCTATTCTGAATGTTTCATATAAATGGAAAAGGACCATATGTGTTCCTTCGTGACTAACGTCTTAGCATGTTTTCAAGGTTCATCCATGTTGTAGATGTATCAGTACTTCATTTCTTTTTTTTATTTCACTCTGATAAATATAACATAAAATTTGCCGTTTTTACCATTTTTAGATGTACAATTCAGTGCAACCATCACCACTGTCTATTTCCAAAACTTTTTCATCACACAAAACAGAAACTCTGTACCCATTAAGCAATAACTCCCCGTTTCTCCCTCCCCCAAGCCCCTCTTAGTCTACTTTCTGTCTCTATAAATTTGCCTGTTCTACATATTGCATGCGAGTGAAATCATACAATATTTGACCTTTTGTGTGTCTGGGTTATTTCACATAGCATAATGTTTTTAAGGTTCATCCATGTCATAGCATATATCCCGTCTTCATTCATTTTTATGGTTGAATAATATTCCATTGTATGGATATACCACATTTTGTTTATCCATTCATCGGTGGATACTTGAGCTGTTTCCACCTTTTGGCTATTATGAATAATGCTACAATGAACACTGGTGTACGAGTATCTATTTGAGTCCCTGCTTTCAATTCTTTTAAGTGTATCTAGAAGTAGAATTGTTGAGTCATATGGTAGTTCTATGTTTAACTTTTTGAGGAGCTGCCAAACTGTTTTTCACAATGACAAAACCATTTTAAATTTCCACCAGCAATGCAAGAGGGTTCCAGTTACTCCACATCCTCTCCAAAGCTTACTATTTTTCTTTTCTTTTCTTTTTTTTCCTTAAATAGCCATCCTGATGGGTATCTCATTGTGGTTTTGATTTGCACTTTCCTAATGGCTAGTAATATTAAGCATCTTTTCATGTGCTTACTGGCCATTTGTATTCTTCTTTGGAAGAATGTCTATTCAGATCCTTTACCCTTTTTTTAATTGGATTGTCTTTTTTTTATATATTCTAGATACAAGTTTTTTTATCAGCTACACTTGAAAATTATTTTTTCACATTCTGTGGATTGTCTTTTCAATTTCATTATGTTATCCTTTGATTCACAAAAGCTTTTAATGTTTATGTTATCCAGATTATCTATTTTTTTCTTTTATTGCTTGTGTGTTTGGTGTCATATCTAAAAAAGCATTGCCTAATCCAGGGTCATGAAAATTTATACCTATGTTTTCTTTTATGAGTTTTAGCTCTTACATTTAGGTCCTTGATCTATTTTGAGTTAATTTTGTATGTGGTGTGAGGTAGGGATCCAAAAGAATAAATATTCTTTTAAATATGGATATCCAGTTGTCCCAGCACCATTTGTTGAAAACTCATTGAATTGTCTTGGCACCCTCATTGTCAAAAATCAATTGACCATAAATGTGAGGGTTAATTTCTGAACTCTCAGTTCAATTCCAGATAGATGGATGGATGGACAGATGGGCAGACGGATGGATACACAGTAGATAGATAGATAGTAGATAGATAGATCTAGATTTATCTATTTATCCTTAATGCAAGTACTTCACTGCCTTGATTTGTAATACATTTTGAAATTGGAGCGTGTGAGTCCTCCAACTGTGTTTTTTTTTCAAGATTGCTTTGACTGTTCGAGGTCTCTGGGTTTCCGTATGAATTTTAGGATCATCTCATTTATTTCTGCAAACAAACCAGCTGGAATTTTGATAGGGTTTGTGTTGAATCTGTTCAATTTGGGGTATATTGCCATCTTAACAATATTATACCTTTTAATCCATAAACATGCAATATCTTTCTGTTTATTTATGTCTTCTTTAATTTCTTGTTACAATATTTTGTAGTTATCAGAATCTAAGTTTTGTACTTATTGTTAAATTTATTCTTAAATATTTTATTCTTTTTGATCCTGTTATAAATGTAATTGTTGTCTTAATTTCATTTTTGGTTTATTCATTGCTACTATATAGAAATACAATTGATTTTTATATATGAGTAAAGGATTTTTAAATGTTCTGTTTCTGAAATTATTCAATCCATACTATTTTTGTGAATCTCATATTAATTTCACCTTACATGAATTATGGCTTTTCTTACAGCTGCTGGAAAGGTATATCATAATAGGGTGCTGAAGGGTATAAAGTCTCTCAAAGGTAAGTAAAATTCAAATCATAATGCGTACTAAGTTCCTGAGACTTTATATTATTCAATTATAAATCTTGGCCCTATATAATTTGCCATTCATTATTCTTTCAACATTTTTTATGGTATCACCAGGCACGTTTTCTTTGCAGGAAGTCCAGTGTACTCGGGTTTTTTTCAACTCTTTCTCAAAAGGGAGAATCAAACCTAGCAAAATGAAATAAAGAACTGGTCATTATTAAAGAGAATTGGTCAACTGCAAAAATAACTAATATAGGAAGTCAGTCAACAAAAATAACACTACTTTCTGTGTAGAGAAATTAAGTTGTTGGTCTGCAGCTCTGCTTGTTGAAGCCCTTTACCAATATTTTATAAAGTAAGCATATAATCAAGAATAGATTTAAGGAAATACATTCTACTTTTGATTCTTCTGTTGACTTTATATTTGGGACCTCAAGTGGACAAGTCTTTTGGGGTTTCAACCTTGTTGAAAATGTAATGATACAAAGGCATGAAATATATTTTATCTTTTGTCTCTTATTTTGTTTGAATAACATGTGGTCATTAAAACTAATGATAATAATACCAAAACAAAATTTTATCTTTCTTTTTTGCTATTATATGACTTTTTTTAACGTTGCTTTACTGTCTCTTTGCTAAGAGGGGAAGATAAATAAGAATAACCTCCGTACTAGTTTGGAGAAAATGAAGGTCAAACTCACAGAAGAGCAATTTGCTGAACTTTCAGAAAACCTACAAGCTGATGGTGAGCACTAGTGATATCCTTAGGACATCTTTTTATTTTATCTTCTACATAATATTCTTTAAAAATAAGTATAATTTGTGCCATATAAATATTTAAAGGCTTAACAAAGAGCCCAACATTAATGTAAGAGTAATTAATATAAAATTAATCTAAAACCAATATCATCTTTCTCTGTGGATATCAAGAACTATTGCAGGGGGTGGTAGCTGCCAGGATCATTAGTAGATCTTGATTAGTAAGAAAGCAAATTAGGAAAAAAGTATAGAGAAGTCAGCAGAATCCATGTGTTTACTTTTCACGTTCCTCTGTCCCCTGCAATCTGCTAACTGCTCCTACACCTCTTGGTAGACCCACTATCACCAAGTTAACTAAACAGTGATCTAATTGTCAAATCCTGTGGACATGATTGGAAGCCCTGGTGGCATAGTGGTTGAGAGCTACGGCTGCTAACCAAAAGGTCAGCAGTTTGAATCCACTAGATGCTCCTTGGAAACTCTATGGGGCAGTTCTACTCTGCCCTTTAAGGTTGCTATGAGTCAGAATCGACTAAAACCAAAGGTTTTGGGTTATGGACATGATTTAGGTCTTGTCTTATCAGATATTTGTAATGCCTTTGGCAACATTGATTATTTCTTCTTGAGACGATCACCTCTCTCAGCTTCTGTATGGTCCACGCTTCTATTTTCTTCCTTCCTATCTGACTTTTCCTTCTGTTTGCTTCAACAGCTTCTCTCCTTTCAACAGCCTCTTAAAAGCTTAGATTCTCAAGGTTCCCTCATCAGTTCAATATTCATTGCTCTTTAATACATTCTATGGAATATTATATTTACTTTTGTGATATTAATTACTCCTTTGTAATGAAGGTTCTGAAATTTTCATCTTTAGGCCCAGCTTCTCCTGTTAGACATTTGATTTAGGTTTTTCCATACGAATACTTTAAAAATTTATTTAATGTTCCGAATCAAATTTTCTTCCTAAATAAATTACTACTTTTGCATTCTTTATTACGGTGTCATCCATCTAGTCATCTATCCTTATAACTGGTTTGTAGTTATTTTCCTTAATTCCTTTTTTGGTCCTTTATTCCCCATTTACAACACTTAGTAATTTGGAATCCTACAGATTTCTCAGATACATCTTTGACCCTCAATATGTGATTTTACAAACTGAGTTCAGAACGTTTTCATCTCTAGGATAACAACAGCATCCTAAGGAGAACAACAACATCCCAATTGGTCTCTCACCCTGTATTTTTATCACCTTCAAATTTATTTTCCAGATAGCTGGTAGAATGGTCTATCAAATTAAATTCTGACCATGTAATTCCCTTGCTTCTTGTTGTTGTTGTTTGGTGCTGTTGAGTTGGTTTGACTCATAGCAACTCTATGTACAACAGAATGAAACACTGCCCAGTACTGCACCATCCTCACAATCATTGCTATGTTTGAGCCCATTGTTGGAGTCACTGTGTCCATCCATCCTGAGGGTCTTCATCTTTTTCAATGACCCTCTACTTTACCAAGCATGATGTCTTTCTCCAGGGACTGGTCCCTCCTGATAACATGTCCAAAGTACATGAGGCAGAATCTTGGCATCTTCACTTCTAAGGAGCATTCTGGTTGTACTTCTTCCAGGACAGATTCATTTGTTTTTCTGGCAGTCCATGGTATAGTCGATATTCTTTGCCAGCACCAAAGGCATCGATTCTTCTTCAGTCTTCCTTATTCATTGTCCAGCTTTCACATGCATATGAGGCGATTGAAAATACCATGGCTTCAATCAGGTACACCTTCGTCCTCAAAGTGACATTTTTGCTTTTGAACACTTTAAAGAGGTCTTTTGCAGCAGATTTGCCTAGTGCAATACCTTGTTTGATTTCTTGACTGCTGCTTCCATGGGTGTTGATTGTGGATCCAAGTAAAATGAAATCCTTGACAACCTCAATCTTTTCTCCATTTATCATAATGTTGCCTATTGGTCCAGTTGTGAGGATTTTTGTTTTCTTCATGTTGAGGTGTAATCCATACTAAAGGCTGTAGTCTTTGATCTTTATCAGTAAGTGCTTCAAGTCCACAAGCAAGGTTGTGTCATCTGTATGACGCAGGTTGTTAATGAGTCTTCCACCAATCCTGATGCCCTGTTCTTCTTCATATAGTCCACCTTCTCGGATTATTTGCTTAGCATACATCTCAAATAAGTATGATGAAAAGATACAACCCTGATGCACACCTTTCCTGACTTAAAACCATGCAGTATCCCCGGGTTCTGTTTAAATGACTGCCTGTTAGTCTTTATACAGTTTCCACATGAGCACAATTAAGTGTTCTGGAATTCCCATTCTTTGCACTATTATCCATAATTTGTTATGATCCACATAGTTGAATGCCTTTGCATAGTCAATAAAACACAGGTAAATGTCTTGCTGGTATTCTCTGTTTTCAGCCAAGATGTATCTGCCATCGGCAATGATATCCCTCATTCCATGTCCTCTTCTGAATCCAGCTTGAATTTCTGGCAGTTGCCTGTTGATGTACTGCTGCAACTACTTTTGAATAATCTTCAGCAAAATTTTACTTGTGTGTAATATTAATGATATTGTTCAATAATTTCCACATTCTGTTGGATCACCTTTCTTTGGAATGGGCACAAATACAGATCTCTTCCAGTCCGTTGGCCAGGTAGCTGTCTTCCAAATTTCTTGGCATAGATGAGTGAGAAAGAACTTCCAGTGTTGCAACCATTTGTTGAAACATCTCAGTCGGCATTCTGTCAATTCCTGGAGCCTTGTTCTTCACCAGTGCCTTCAGTGCAGCTTGGTCTTCTTCCTTCAATACTGCCGGTTCTTAATTATATGCTACCTCCTGAAATGGTTGAACATTAACCAGTTCTTTTTGGTACAGTGACTCTGTGTATTTCTTCCATCTTCTTTTGATGCTTCCTGCATCATTCAATATTTTGCCCATAGAGTCCTTCAATATTGCAACTTGAGGCTTGAATTTTTTCATCAGTTCTTTCAGCTTGAGAAATGCCAAGCATGTTCTTCCCTTTTGGTTTTCTCTCTCCAGCTCTTTGCACATTTCATAGTAATACTTTACTTTGTCTTTTAGCCGCCTTTAGCAAACTTCTTTTCAGCTCTTTTGCTTCATCATTTCTTCCTTTCTCTTTAGCTACTTGACGTTCAAGAGCAAGTTTCAGAGTCTCTTCTGACATCCATATTGGTCTTTCCTTTCTTTCCTGTATTTTTGATAATCCCTTGCTTTTTTCATGTATGATGTCCTTGATGTGATTCCACAACTCATCTGGTCTTTGGTCATTAGTGTTCAATGTGTCAAATCTATTCTTGACATGGTCTCTAAATTCAGGTTGGATATACTCAGAATCATACTCTGGCTCTTGTGAACTTGCTCTAATTTTCTTCAGCTTCAATTTGGACTTGCATATGAGCAATTGATAGTCTGTTCCACAGTCAGTCCCTGGCCTTGTTCTGACTGATGATATTGAGCTTCTCCATCGTCTTTTTCCACAGATGTAATCAATTTGACTCCTGTGTATTCCATCTGGTGAGGTCCATGTGTATAGTCGCTGTGTATGTTGTTGAAAAAAAGGGATTTGCAGTGGATAAGTTTCTGGTCTTGCAAAATTCTGTCATGGAATCTCTGGCCTTGTTTCTATCATCAAGGCCAGATTTTCCAACTACCAATCCTTCTTTTTTTCCAACTTTCTCATGCCAGTCACCAGTAATTATCAATGCATCTTAACTGCATGTTTGATCAATTTCAGGCTGCAGAAGTTGGTAAAAATCTTCAATTTCTTCATTTTTAGCAGTAGTGGTTGGTGCGTAAATTTGAATAATAGTGATATTAATTGGTCTTCCTTGTAGGTGTATGGATAGTATCTTATCACTGACAGCTTAGAACTCTGCATTTATTCCTACAACCCAAAAGATTAACTCTAATGTCCTTATGATGATTTACAAGACCATCAAACTCAAATTGCCTCTTTGACCTCATCACTCTTCTTTTCACTTTGCATTTTATCTTCCAGCCATGCTAAATAAATTTTCCATACATAGCATACTGTTCCCTAGGCTTTTTCATTTTTCTTAACCTAGTGGTTCTCAAACTTAAACGTACAGTAGAATCACCCAGAGGCCTTGTTAATCCACAGATTGCTGGGTCCTGTCCCCAGAGTTTCTAATTCAGTAGGTCTAAGACAGGGCTCAGAAATTTGCATTTCTAACAAGTTCCCAAGTGTACTCACCTTAGATAATATTCCCTGAATTATGCCTTCACTGAATGCTCCAGGCTAGATTAAGGCCTCAGTCTAAAGCCAATAACAAGGGAATCTTCAACTACAGATATATGATAAAAGGGCTTCCAAAAGCCTGGAGTGAGTACATTTTCTCTGCTCCAGAGTCCACGTTCCCCAACAGACCTTCTTATTAATAGGGCATACATCCTTGAAATCCAGAAATTTAAAGAGATGTTAGTTAAAATTATGATGTCAGTGGAATTTAGTTGGACTTTATTATTACACAATATGTATAATTTATATTTGTTTTCTGAGCTCATGCCACTGATTGTGTATCTCTATTGGATTTATAGCAAATGGGATGGTTGATCTGTATAATGTGATGGAAGGAGTAAAAGCCATTACAGGTAAGTGCAAAGTTACTATAAATCTAAGATTTTAGACTAAGATTGATAAGATTAACATATTATTAACACTACTACTCTAGACAATGAGGGTCTTTCTACCAAAACATAACACTAAAATTTTATTACTGAAACATGAGTGCCACAAAATCTGACTCTTAATTATATTTTACCATTAACCCTAATTACCATATTAGTTCTGTTACTTTACTCCTTATTGTAAATATTTAGAGTTGGACTTTGTGGTACTCGTTTCAGTAAAAAAAAATTTAGTGTTATGTCTTGGTAGAAAGATTCTCCAGAGTAATTCTCATAAATGTTTTCTCTTGGTTAGTACAATAAAGGTAAGAAAAAACTTTATTAAAAATTTGCATAATTGAACCCCTAAATTCCCCTGAACTTGTAGACTCACTCCCACTTACTGGAGGATAGGCGCTTCCTCGCTTTCCCAAAAGCTATGCAGAAGCCCTAACTGAGGCAGATGCCTTGAAAGACAGTACTTTCCCTCCTCCATTTCTCTTCCTGGCTACTAGTCTTATTATAGCTAGATTCAAGTCTCAGCATGGCCCAACTGGGGAAGTGCTGGCCCTGTTAAGGGACAAAAGAGATTATTCATGGAAGGAGCTACAATACCTGGCTAAAATGTATTTTCAGGAACTAAGAAATATGCCTGGTAGAGGATCTTAAGGGTGCTGAACCAGAGAGGAGTGTGGCATATAAGGATGGATGGGAAGAGTTTGTTGTCACTTTGGTGACTCAGGTTTTAATGCTCTGCCAAAAATACCTAGAGCTGTCAAATATATGGCTGGAATGACTCCTAGGAGGTGGAAATGCCAGATTTGCCTTGGCAGAATACTGAGGAAGGAATAAAAAGTTTAGAGAAGTTGGGTATGCTGAAATGGATCTATTATATAAGACATGAAGACCCACCAAATAACTATATTCCTCAAGGGGTCCATGGAACACCACCTTCACTAAGGCAGCAAATGCATCCACCCAAATGTTCCCACCTCAAATTTCAGAGTACCACTCCTTCCCTATCAGAGCTGTGACTTTTATATGGAAGATTTGCCAAGACTGCAAACTTAGCCTTCTCTGAAGTTCTGTTGTTCTTATAATAGGTCCCAATCCCGGTCTTCAGCATAGTCTCCTCAGCAAGTAGGAGATGAAGGCCTCTTTAAATGCTGCCATATAGGCCTTCTGACTTTAACACTGTTCCTCAAGTTGCTAAGTATCTGAATTGAATCTTTCATTTTCTGTCTTTGACACATCAATAACACTCAGCAGCAACCAACCATTTCCACAGTCACAATTACCATTTCCTCATGTGTCTTAGGCAGGGTTCTCTAGAGAAGCAAAACCAGTGCAGCATATAAATATATATAGAGAGAGATTTATATAAAGGAAATGGCTCACATGGTTGTAGAGGCTGGAAAGTCCCAAGTTCGTAAGTCAGGCTGGAGGCTTCTCCTGACTCATGTAGCCGCAGGTGCTGGCTAATCCAAGATCGGAAGTTCAGATAACAGGCCTCTGGCTCACAGGCTGTAGAGGCTGATGAATCCCAAGATCAGGTAAGACGGCAGGTAAGCTTGCTAGCTGAAGTCCCAAGAACTGGAGGTCAGATGAACAGAAGCCAGCTGTAGGATCCAGAGCTAGCAAAAGCCAGTGAGCCTTGCCAGAAAGTCCACCTGTCTTGGATATAGGCCAAGCCTCAAGTTGCAATATTGAAGGACTCTATGGGCAGGAAGCATCAAAAGAATATGGAAGAAATACACAGAGTCACTGTACCAAAAAGAACTGGTTAATGTTCAACCATTTCAGGAGGTAGCAGTACATCAACAGGCAACTGCCAGAAATTCAAGCTGGATTCAGAAGAGGACATGGAATGAGGGATATCATTGCCGATGGCAGATACATCTTGGCTGAAAACAGAGAATACCAGCAAGACATTTACCTGTGTTTTATTGACTATGCAAAGGCATTCGACTGTGTGGATCATAACAAATTATGGATAATAGTGCAAAGAATGGGAATTCCAGAACACTTAATTGTGCTCATGTGGAAACTGTATAAAGACTAACAGGCAGTCGTTTAAACAGAACCCAGGGATACTGCATGGTTTCAAGTCAGGAAAGGTGTGCGTCAGGGTTGTAGTCTTAGGTCTGGTTCCCAGAAGCAGACCCTGAGACTCAGTTTCATGTACAAGTGAATTAATACAGAAGTGCTCCTAGGGGAAACCTGTAGGGGGGTGAGAGAAGCAAAACTGAAAAAAGAAGCCAAGTGAAAGCATGATCTCAGACAGAGTCCTACAGACGATAGCTTCAGGCTGATCTTGCTGAAGATCTCTGTAAATTACATCCCAGAGTTGTCCCAACCCAAGGCAAGAGAGCCGAAATTTCATACTTTCCCACCCAAAAGTCATCACCCAACTCAGTCACATTTTCTTTTGCTTTCTATATATGTGGGCAAAGCTGTCTTCAATAACATAAGATCAGCCTTACAAATAAAAGCTACAGGTGCTAGCTGTTGGGAGTGAAACCACACCAAAGCTCAAAAATGACAAATAAGGATCTGAGAGAATCTACAAAGAGCACAAGGGCTATAAAGACTAAGAAATATTTCATTTTGCCTTTGATTCAAGTGAGAAACCTCTGTGTTGAGGTGAGGGATATGAGACAAAAATGAATTGGTTATGTACTAGAAAAGGGAGAAAAGAAAGAAATCAGGGAGAAGAAAAGGAAAAAAAAGAAGTGAGAGTATGTTTCCTGTTGATAATGTGTGTAAAGTGCCAGGTTGTACACAGATATGCAACAATAATTTTCCCAATTTAATCTAAGATTTAAATTTTTAAGTATAAGATTTTTTTATAACTTGAGGGTAAACTAAGGAGCCCTGGTGGTGCATTGGTTAAGTGCTCAACTGCTAACTGAAAGGTTGGTGATTCAAACGCACCAACCACTCTGTGGGAGAAAGACCTGGCAATCTGTTTCATAAAGATTACAGCCTGTGAACCCTATAGGGCAGCTCTACTCTGTCCCGTAGGGTCACTATGAGTTAGAATCGACTCAACGACAACAGGTTTGGGTTTTGGTTTTGAAGGTAAACTGGATAAATTTGTAGGGTAAATTATAAAAAGTTTGTCCTTTTTTGCTATCATAGTGGATCTTCACCTTATTTTATCTGTGACCTTAATGGATGAATTTCTTAAAGCTGCCAGAAAGTTCAGTCAAAATGCTTGTTATTTATATTGACATGGCATGATCTCTAGGCTATATGGTTAAGTGACAAAAGTAAAATGTAGGATCATTAATACAGATTGCAACATTTTATGTAAAGAAGAAGGGGGAATAAGAGTATACAAACGTGTCTATGAAGTAGATAGATATTTTCTTATTTTTGCAAAAACAAACTGAAGGCTAAATCAGAAACTAATTTTTAAAACATGATTACCTGTAGGGATACTCAGGAAACAGGGTGAAGAGAATGGAAGAAAAACTTATCTGAGTACACTTTTTATTTAGTCTTAACTTTTGAATCATGAAAATGTTTAAATATTCAAAAACAAAAGTAAATATATGAGAAAAAAACCTTAAATTTGAAAATAAGCTGACGCAAATTTAATTGTATATCAAATTGATAATATAATCACATACAGAAAATAATTATTTCAAGTGACTTTTGCATGTAGTACTCTGATTAAATGAACAATGAAATATATGCTAAGGACAAAAAGGACTTCTAAGGAATAATACTGGAATTTAATATTGTTACTATTGTATGTAATTGCAGGATAAAACAAATATGTCAATGTTGTTAGGAAACAAGATTTTTCATTTTCAGAGAAGAAGGATACAAACATAAATGCAAAGAAGTTAAACTTGTAAAACCAAACCCATTGCCATCAAATCAATTCCAACTCATGGCAAACCTATAGGACAGAGTAGAACTGCCCCATAGGGTTTCCAATGAGCAGCTGGTGGATTGGGACTGCCGACATTTTGGGTAGCAGCTTAGCTCTTAACCACTGCACCACCAAGGCACCTTAAAAAAGTTGGCGGTGGGGGGAACTTTAACTGTAAAATTTTGATTGAAACTATCAGTATGAACTCATGATTTTGTTTGTTTGCTGTTTGTTTTAACGTGTGTTTCCTATACCTCCCTAGAAATGGTTGAAAACCCCAAAAAACCCAAACCCATTGCCGTCGAGTTGATAGTGACTCTATAGGACAGAGTAGCACTGCCCCCATAGGGTTTCCAAACAGCGCCTGGTAGATTCGAACTGCCGACCTTTTGGTTAGCAGCTGTAGCTCTTAACCACCACACCAAGGGCCTAGAAACAATGACATCTTGTTTTCATTGAGTACAAGTAATGCTTAGATTGTGGTTTCTAAAATAACTTGCCCAGTAGAAGGACCCCTAAAGCTCCTTGGAGAAAAGCTGCTTCTAGGTCTGAGGTAGGGAAAGTAGAAGGTGAGCCTGGTATATATTGTTTCAGAAAGCAAGGTTAGCACCCGAAGATTAAAAATGGGAATGTCAAAAGGAAACAGAAGCCAGCTTGAATGGACTCCACTGGTAACATTGAAGACAATTCCAGCATCAAAATAAAGGAGGAAGGCAGGCAGGTGGATGGAAGGGAGAGAAGGAGCGAAGGAAGGAAGGAGGGAAGGAAGGGAAAAAGGAGGGAAGGAAGGAGGGAAAGAAGGAAGGAAGGAAAGAAGGAAAAAGAAATGCCTATAGTTGATTATTAAACACTGAAAAAATCTCACAACTCCATAATGATTCTATTTTACTGGAAATACATGGAATAAAGGGACAAGTTAAATAACACTACAAAAAAAATTTTTTTAAACAATCAAATAAATCCAGAATGTTAGACATTCTAAAGAAAATTGAGCTTCTACAAGAAAATTGGCCTAGTCTTTTCAAAAAGTCAATGTTCAATGTTAAAAAATAAATAAAAAGCACTCTCTAGATAGTAGACACTTGTTATTTTGGGTAATGGGAAAGTTAACACTGAGTGTGGGTGGGGCGCTCACTTGACCAAGGTAAATGATGTCACTAAGAATTACACAAGAAAAAAGACACTTTTGGTAAATGCTATGACATATATAATTTTGCAACAACAGTAACAAGAGGCAAAAAATATATGTGTGGTTACATATGCATGCATGTATGCATCTATGTATATAGGTATGTATATGTGTATACATGTGTGCATATATAGGATGTATATACATATATGTGTATGCATGCATATATTTTCATATGTATATAGTATAGCACAAGCAGGCACAGTTACAGATACTTCTTAGACATAACCAAACACCTCACGGGATAGGTTTTCTGGGCTTGAAGGCTTGAGCTCATAGTCTTGTGGGACAACTCGGTCAATTGACATAATATAACTTATAAAGTTTGTGTTCTACATTCTAGTTTGGTGAGTAGTGTCTGGGGTCTTAAAAACTTGTAAGTGGCTATATAAGATACAACTGTTGGTCTGCACTCATCCGGAGCAAAAGAGAAAGAAGGAAACCAAAGACTCAGAGAAGAAACAAATCTACAGTACTAATAATCTGCACAAACCACAGCCTCATCACTACCCTGAGACCAGAACAGCTAGATGGTGTCTGGCTACCACTACCGACCATTCTAATCAGGGCCACAATAGATGGGCCCTGACAGAATAGAGAAAAATGTGGAACAGAACTCAAATTCTTAAAAAGTCCAGACTTACTGGGCCAGTTAATGACTAGAGGACTCCTGAGAGTATTGCCCTGAGATACTCTTTAAACCTTGAAATAAAACTACTCCCTGAGGTCACTTTTCAGCTAAATAACAGATTGGCTCATAAAACAAAGACTATCACACGTTAGAACTGCGCTCCTATAAAAATCTGAGTCCAAATGGTCAACAATTACTCTAAAGCAAAGTTGAGATGGTAATGGGGCAAGGAAATTACTGGAAACGGAACAACTAGAACGGAAATAATGAGAATGTTGACACATCGTGAAAAATGTAACCAATGTCACTGAACAATTTGTGTAGAAATTATTAAATAGGAACCTAATTTGCTGTGTAAACTTTCACCAAAAACACAGTAAAATATTATTTTTTAAACAATAATAAATAGTAGGGAGATTGTTCTGTATTAAAAGACACTAAAGAGAATAACTAAATGCAATCTGTGAACCTTTGACAGAACCAGCTATAATAGATATTTTGAGGACAATTGAGGAAATTTAAATATGGACTAGATGTTAGATGATATTAAGGGATCATTGTTAATTTTCTTAGGTTATGTAGGAGGTATTCTTATCCTTAGAATATACATGCTACAGTATTTAGGGGTCATAATTTCCACAATTTTCAAATGGTTCAGGAAAAATAAAAATTGTGTTTATAGTTCTACCCCCCCACACACACATACATATATATATGGAAAGAGAGAACAAGAGAGAAAAAGCAAATTATGGCCAAATGCTAACTATTATTTAAATCTAGGTTCCATGAACATTTATGAGGTCCATGGGTGGGCTTCAACACATCCGCATACCCTATGAAGTTTAATGCAGAGCTTATAAATGTGCATATGTACACTATGTGGAGGTATAAGATCCATAACTTTTCTCAGATTTCAAAGGATATATGTCTCAAAACAGTTTTTTTTAATCACTTTTTTGGAGTCATTAAGTTTTCCTCACAGGCCTGTCTCTTTTTTATAAAGGGAAAGTTGATGTCAAAAACCTGAAAACCATTCTAGGCAACATGGGAATAAACCTCACCAATAAGGAATTTGAAGATCTGATACAAAACCTTCCAGTCAGTGGTGAGCATGTTAGACACCATTGGTTTTTAAGCTTTAGGTTTTATGTACCTTTAGCGTGGAAAGAAAAGAGTAAGGAAACTTTATCATGGGGAGGATGGCAAGGTTGAATATGAGATAGTGACAGTGACAAAGACGTTGGGAATGTAGTATTCTGGGCACTAGTGGCATGGCCAACAGACGAGTCTTCCAGTTTATGAGAAGAAGAAAGCTAGCCTCTATGAAATAGCCACTTTTGAATCCCAACTGTTCAATATCAAATCAATACCTGATTTGATATTTTATGGAATAGAAAGCAAAACTTATATTTTTTAAATAAATAAATTTATATATTTTAATATGTAAATTTGTTTTATTTTACTTCATGCTCTTAACATATTCTGAATAGATATTTATTGAATGACTACTTCAAATGCTTAACAAAATGTTCAGTACACTTAATAAGTGCTGTTGCTAGACTTTGTAATCATTGGAGGAGGAGTGTTCTTATGCTATTTTATATCATTTTGTGAGCTTAAAGTTATGTCTTTGTCTTACAGTTGATAATAAAGTGGCTCTGAAAACCTTGAATGATGAAGTGAAAGCTTTTGCAGGTAAGAATTTGTTATTATTTGTAATAAATCATTATGATTTACATTAAAATGTTTAATAGTATTTTGCAAATATTCTATCAGTGACTTATAAATTCACATATTTTCAATATTCATTGATAAAATATTTGCATCTAATGACCAACAGATTAATCTAAAATTATCTGGATTTTATAAGTAAAACAAAAGGACTATTTCTTGATAACAAGTTCTTACATTCTTTGATGCTTTTTTTCAGTAAAATGATTTCATTAGTATTTATCGACCCAGAAATCAGGTAGACACAGTAAATGGCAGGGCGAAGCATTGAAAGGATCAAAGTATTAAATCCATTGTGCACAGCTAATCACATAATTTTAACCAACAAAAGGAAAAATATGTCATAGTTTGTAATTGTGTATTTTATTATACCTACCGTCTCTTGTCCTAATCTCTGGATAATTATACAACCAAATTTTTTTCTGTGCTGTCTGGTGTTATTCCCAGTTTTGGAAATACATCCCATTTACTAATGTTATGGGACAAATTCTATTTTTTATTTACTATTTGATTCTTTTTATGAAGAAACCTGTCATTCTGTCTTTTCTCTTCATTCTGATATTAGAGAAAAAACAATAGTATAGTATCTAAACATATACTTTGAAATAATTAGAAAAAATTAGATTTTTCTTTAGTATTTTACGTATGAATATTCTATATTTTCAAAGGAGAAAAGATTGATTCTAATGACTTCCAAAAAGTTCTAAAAAACGTGGGGATTGAGCTTACAGATAAGGAATGCAAGCAACTGTTGAAAGCATTGCCCATTGATGGTAAGTCACATAAATGCCACTATGCCTTCCAGGAACTTGATTTTATGGACCTGTATAAGCAGTTCTCAGTCTTTTAATAGTACCCGTTCCCTTTGCCGTCAAGTCGACTGCGACTCTATAGGACAGGGTAGAACTGCCCCATAGGATTTCCAAGGAGCTCCTGGTAGATTCGAACTGCCAACCTTTTGGTTAGCAGCCGTAGCTCTTAACCACTACGCCACCAGGGTTTCCAAAAAGTCCCATAAATTAATAGAAATGCAGTTCTAACTTGAAAAGAAATTCTGTCATTACCTCTTAGAAGATAAGTTGAGAATCATCACTATGTTGCCATGCTGTTGTTGTTAGGTGCCGTCGAGTCATTTCCAACTCATAGCGACCCCTATAGGACAAAGTAGAACTGCCCCATAGGGTTTCCAGGGAGTGCCTGGTGGATTCAAACTGACAGCCTTTTGGTTAGCAGCCGAACTCTTAACCAGTACACCACCAGGGTTTCCTTCAATGTAGAGGAGCTATACTAATCAATATCTCTGCTACCAAAGAATAGACAGGTTTGTCACTGTGAAAATCTTTCCATTCTTAAATATCAATATTGTGTGAGCACAAAATAGATTAATTTTAAAAGTATTAAAATGTATCTTTTTGAAATCATATAATTTGTAATATTTTCATAAGTCTCCATATCAGTTTTTCAGAGATTTGAGTTGTACCTTTTGTTACAGCTGATGGAAAGGTGTTTCAAAATAGATTGCTGAAGGATGTGAAGTCTAATAAAAGTGAGTAAGAAGCACAATGAGAAGACATGTGAAATATGCCTCAAGCATTCATTTATATAAATAGAATATAATACCTTATTTTTGCTTTTTGTAGCACATCTGTGTTTTACCTGGTAATAGCCTCTAGTTTATGTATACTGGCTTGCATTTTCCAAACTTTTCTGAGGGAAAAAAAAAAGGATTTGTCATTTGTTTCAAAATTTGACCAGGAGAAGAGAAAACACTTGAGAGATTAGGAAACAATTACAATCTCTACTTCTTCGTGAAGATCATTGATGAGTGTTCTCTAATTGCAGTTGTTTAACCCTTGTCCCACCTAACTTTTTCCTATATGGGTATGTATGAGATTCAAGGAAACAGGGTCTAATTCCAGCTCTGCTTTTAACCTTCTAGAGAGTTGGACAAATCTATTGTAGTTTTGTTCTTGGCTTGAAAATATTAAGTCACACTAGGTTGTGAGTCATTCTTTTTTATACATATATTCAAGTAGTTGTAGCACCCGCTAATTAAAGATAATAATATACTTATATTTTAGAATCATTTAATTTTTCTCCCTTTCTTTCATGTTCTCAAGGAGGGAAGGTTAATGTAAATAACTTGGATACTACTTTAGACTTCATGGGGGTCAAGCTCACTGAAAAGGAACTTGATCTGGTAAAGAATCTTCTGAGTAATGGTAAGTATTACGTAAAACATTGTGACGTTAAAGAGATCATGCATTTTCAGGATTAATTATGACTGTTTCTAAATTTTAAAAGCCATTTGAATAGCTTTCAGAAGAAACTAGTAGAAAACAAACATGGCTCTTCATTTTTGTTCTTTTAAAACCTTTCTTTATACATTTAGGGGTTCAGAAGGGGTGCTGATGACAAGGGGAGGGTTTATGGTTATCTAAAGGTTCCTGAATGGTGCAAACGGTTTGCACTCAACTACTAACCAAAAGGTTGAGGTTCGAACCCACCTAGTGGCACCTCAGGAGAAAGGCCTGGCAATCTGCTTCCACCTTATGGAGCAGTTCTACTCTGCAACACACAGGGTCACTATGGCTTGGAACTGATTAGATGGCAATGGGTTAGGTTTTTTGGTATCATTATTTGGTTTTATAAAAATAGGATCTGCAACCTGTTTTTTCTCATTGATCCATATAACACTGACATCAAATCAGGGTATAACGGAGAGAGAGGAGAAAGAAGAAAAGCAAAGACTCAAGGGAAAGATTAGTCCAAAGGAGTAATGGAACACAATTACCATAACCTCCACCAGACTGAATCCAGCACAACTAGATGGTGCCCAGCTAACACCTTGAACTGCCCTGACAGAGATCACAATAGAGAGTCCCGGACAGAGCTGGAGAAAAATGTAGAACAAAATTCAAACTCACAAAAAAAGACCAGACTTACTGGTCTGACAGAGACTGGAGAAACCCTGAGAGTATGGCCCCTGGACACCCTTTTAACTCAGTACTGAAGCCAAAGATTAGACAGGCCCATAAAACAAACAATAATACATGTAGCTCAACCATGTATATGAGACTAAGTGGGCACACCCGCCCAGGGACAAGGACGAGAAGGCAGGAAGGGACAGGAAAGCTGGATGAATGGAAATGGCAAACCCAAGGTTGGGAAGGGGAGTGTTGACACGTGGCAGGGTTGGCAACTAATGTCACAAAACAATATGTGTATTGTTTAATGAGAAACTAATTTGCTCTGTAAACCTTCACCTGAAGCACAATAAAAAAAAAAGAAAATAAAAAATCAAGGTATAACCTAATTTGTTCAGCCATTCCTCTATTCATGGATATTGAGATATGTTTTTTGTCACTATTAACAAGCAAGTTACAGAACAATATGTGTGTTATTATCGTTTTTTAAGAGAGATTTATATATACTTTCATAAGCATAAGAAAGGTTTGAAAGCATATACACCAAACTGTTAGTAGTGGTGGTAGTGTGGTAATGAAGTAGTTAGTAGTGTGGTAATGAAGGTGAGGAGCAGTAAAAGGAAGAATCATTTACTTTTTCTTTATATGCTTGTGTATTTTTTATATTTATTATACAAAGTGTGCTTTAAACTATAATTTTTTAAACTCAGTTTATTTTGGTTTTTAATTTAAGATGGATTCAAATGATGTGGTGGAATGATTGGACTTTGGCCACTGTGTAGGTTCAGGGGATCACTGCTTATGTAACATGGGCTATGAACGTGTCCCTATCATACATTCTTCCTAGCTTAACACTAGTCTGTCTCTGTCCATTACATCAGCATGTGACAATATAAGATGACAGTCTTCACAAGTACTGAAAAAGATTCAGAATTTCAAGAAATGAAATTAAAGTTGGAGGACTGCTCAAAGCACACACAAAGACACTAACAAATATGGACCTGGCAGAGCAGACCATTTAATGACTGAAAAAGAAATATTCTACATGAGTGATGACATAATAGACCATTCAGAATGATTTGAATTTCAAAGGACTTAGAGGAACCCATGGGAAAAAGTCAAACATTTTTGCAAAAGTGACTTTTTCATTTCCTAAGTTGTTTCTCCCCATCCCCGCACCCACTTTGGCAACCACCAGTCTGCATCCTGTATCCAGGGTCTTATCTTTTCCAGATAGTTCAAGTAATGAAATCGTACAATATGTGACTTTTTGTGTCTGAGTTCTTTTACTTAACATAATGTTTTGGAGATTCATCTATATTGTAGCATGTATCAGTACTGCATTCCTCTTAGAACTAAATATTCCATTGTATGTATATGCCGCAATTTGTTTATACATTCATCTATTGATGGACACTTGGGCTGTTTCCACCTTTTGGCTATTGTGAATAGTGCTGCTATGAACATGCATGTACATATATTTGTTTGAGTACCTGTTTTCAATCATTTTAGGTATATGCCTAGAAGTGGAATAGAGGGGTTATATGCTAATTCTATGTTTAACTTTTGGAGGAACTGCCAAACCGTTTTCCAAAATGGCTGCACGATTTTACATTTCCACAGGCAATGAAGGAGGATTCCAATTTCTCCACATCCTTACCAATTCTTGTTATTTTCTTTTATTCTTATATAATAGCCATTTTAGTGAATGTGGAGTGGTATTTCATTGTGATTTTGATTTGGGTTTTCCTAATGACTAGGGATGTTGAACGTCGTTTCAGGTGCTTATTGGCTATTTGGATATCTTCCTTGGAGAATGTCTATTTAAATCATTTGTCCATTTTTTAATTGGGTTGTTTGTCTTTTTGTTGTTGAGTTGTACAAGTTCTTTATATATTCTGGATACTAGATCTTCAGCAGTATTTGATTTGCAAAAATTTTCTCTCATTCTGTAGGTTGTCTTTTCACTTTCTTGATAGTGTCATTTTATGCACAAAAGTTTTTAATTTTGACTAAATCTAATTTTTCTATTTTTTATTGTTGTTCATGCTTAGGTGTTGTCTTGGTTATCTAGTGCTGCTATAACAGAAATACCACAAATGGATGGCTTTAACAAAGAGAAATTTATTCTCTCACAGTCTAGTAGGCTACAAGTCCAAATTCAGGGTGTCAGCTCCAGGGGAAGGCTTTCTCTCTCTGTTGACTCTGGAAGAAGGCCCTTGTCATCAATCTTCCCCTAAACTAGGAGCGTCTCAGTGCAGGAACCTCAGGTCCAATGGACACGCTCTGCTCCCAGCGCTGCTTTCTTGGTGATGTGAGGTCCCCCTGTCTCTCTGCTCACTTCTCTCTTTTATATCTCAAAAGAGGTTGGCTTAAATTGTAGATTAATCTTGTAGATTGAGTTTATATAACTGCTGCTGATCCCATCTCATCAACATCAGAGAGATAGGATTTACAGCACATAGGGAAATCACATAAGATGACAAAATGGTGGACAATCATACAATATTGGGAATCATGACCTAGCCAAGTTGACAGATATTTTTGGGAGACATAATTCAATCCATGACAGGTGTCATATCTAAAAATCCATTGCCAAATCCAAGGTCATGGATACTTACGCCTATGTTTTCTTCTAAGAGTTTTATGGTTTTAACTCTTATATGTAGGTCATTGATCCATTGTGAGTTAGTTTTTTTATATGGTGTAAAATAGGGGTCAAACTTCATTTTTTTTACATGTGGATATCAAGTTATCTCAGCACCTTTTGTTGAAGAGACTATTCTTTTCCCAGTAAATGGACTTAGCACCCTTGTCAAAAATAAATTGGCCAAAGATGTATGGGTTTATTTCTGGACTCTCTATTCTGTTGGTCAATATGACTACCCTTATGCTAGTACTACACTGTTTTATGACTGTAAATCTGTAATCAGTTTTGACATTGGAAGTGTGAGTTCTCCAACTTTGTTCTTATTTTTCAAGATTATTTTGGTAAAAGTGACTTTTTATATGACTTGTTTTAAAGTTCAAAATGATGTTGTATTGTGTGATAATATAATTTTTTCAGAAAATCACACTCTAACACACCTCTAAAAGTTAGCATTTGATTCATTGCTTGTTCTTAGAATTATGGAATAGCTATTATTGTAACCTGGATGTTCTTAAATATAAAACAAAAGAAACTTATTTTCTTAATTTTCAACTTTATTCTCCAATCAAACTTTTTCAAATTATTTTTATTCATTTACTATGAAATATTTGTCCTTATTTTAAGTGAATTTATTTTTATCAGTTATCTTCTAAAGAGAACCTCCAGTCCTACATATATTTTTCCTGGGTTCATGTTATTGTTTATCTCTCATTAAACTTTGTCTTACAAAAGATTTAAACACAGAAGAAAACATTATTTGATCGTCACGAGGGTGGGGAGGGAGGGAGAGGAATATTCACTAACTAGCTAGTAGATAAGAATTAACTTAGGTAAAAGGAAGGAAAACACATACTACAAGGGAAATCAGCACAACTGGACTAAACCAAAAGCTAAGAAGTTTCCTGAAAACAACCAAACACTTCGAGGGAGAGAGTAGCAGGGGTGGGGGTCTGGGGACCATGGTTTCAGGGGACATCCAGGTCAACTGGCATAACAAAGTTTATTAAGAAAATGTTCTGCATCTCATTTTGGTGAGTGATGTCTGGGGTCTTAAAAGCTAGTGAGCTGGCCATCTAAGATGCATAGATTGGTGCCAACCCACCTGGAGCAAAGGAGAATGAAGAACACCAACAACACAAGGAAAATATTAGCCCAGGAGACAGAAAGGGCCACATAAACCAGAGACTCCATCAGCCTGAGACCAGAAGAGCTAGATGGTGCCCAGCTACCACCAATGACCACCCTGACAGGGAACACAACAGAGAGTCCCTGACAGAGCAGGAGAAAAGTGGGGTGCAGAATTCAAATTCTAGTAAAAAGACCAGACTTAATGGTCTGACTGAGATTGGAGGAACCCCAGAAGACATGGCCCCCGGACTTTGTGTTAGCCCAAAACTAAAACTATTCCCGAGGCCAACTCTTCAGACAAAGATTAGACTGGACTATGGGACATAAAATGATAACTCGTGAAGAGTGTGCTTCTTAGCTCAGGTAGATACATGAGACTAAATGGGCAGCTCCTGTCTGGAGGCGAGATGAGAAGGCAGAGAGGGTCAGGAGCTGGTTGAATGGACATGGGGAATCGGGTGGAAAGGAGGAGTGTGCTGTCACAGTATAGGGAGAGCAACTCGTGTCACACAACAATGTGTGTATAAATTTTCGTATGAGAAACTAACGAATTGTAAACTTTCACTTAAAGTGCAATTAAAAAACAAAATACTTTGTCTTACAGCCGATGAGAAAGTTGATCTGAAAAAACTGATGGATAAAGTAGAAGTGGTTACAGGTGAGGAAGTTACCAAATACATATGATTCTGATTCTTTACACTTATTTTTTTTCCTGTTATTTATTATTCCTTTTTAAATTCTGCTATTTCTAATGACATTATTGTGGTCCAATTACCTAGACTTTGATTCTGGCTTTTTGATGATTTAGCAATATAACACAGCTCCACATTTTGTTAACAAGCCCTATACTCACATTTCTTCCAGATTAATCGAACATATTTGCTAAAAAAATTAAGCTAAAATAAATGTTAGTGAAATTAAAACGGACTAAAGTTTTACTACCTGCTAGCGATCTCTCACAACAGAATTAGGAAATTGTATTACCATGTATTGTGTTATTTTGTCTCTATTACTGCAATTAAAGCAATAAACAGTTTCATTTTCTGCCATAACTATAGTCAAACAAGACACATTTGACTTTATTATGCATTCAGTAGTTGGGGCTTATAATGAAACAGTGATAGAATATTTTATTATTATTTAGAATAGATCTTTAAAGTCTCATGTGTTACCATTTCTATCTTTTTGAAGGAAGGGAGGTTGATATCAATGACATAGAAACAGTTCTAAGAAATATGGGGATAGAGCTCACAGATAAAGACCTCTCAGAACTAAAGAATAATCTGCCAGTTGATGGTGAGTATTTCAAATAAAAATGTAGTCTTCTCAAGAGGCTTATTGTTTAATTGTGAAAACTTCTCAAATGAACTCTATCTGAATGCTTGCCAAAAATAATCTTATGACCCATGTTACACAGTTTTAAATGATACATTGTATCTTAAAATATCGCTTGTGCCATTTAGTTTTTAGTTTGAGAATCAACGATTGTGTCATCATGACTCCTGTCATCAGGGCTCGGTTATTTCTTTTATCACTTTTGATTCTACTGAGAGATCTAAAATGTAAGCCAGAATAAATGAGAAAAAGAAAGAGGAATGATCTAGTAGAGGGAAATGAAATATCATAAAAGAAAAGTGAAAATAGATTTCAGCATAGTAAAGTGCCGGTATTAATTGCCTATATTACAAAAGTCTAAACTTTCCCCACTCTATACAATTTTATTGTTTGTTGGTAAATTAGAACATTTCTAAGGCAATTAACAACTCATGTCTTTATGGAATTACTGAGTTTGTATTGTCTGTGAGACCCCACATTGCTCTTTTGTAATCTGAATGGTGCTTTTTTCTTACAGATGGAAAGGTCTATCAGAAAAGGTTGCTGGATGGTATAAAGTTTCTTAAAGGTGAGTGAAACTTAACATAATGCAGCTAAACCTGAGATCCTCATGTGTAGAAATTTTACTATTTCCTTGTGATTAAACTATGAACCCTACCACCTAACACTTGTATTATTACATACTTTTATTTCTTTTATAGGTCAGGCTGTACTTTAGGAAATAATTTCTTATGTTGTATCTTAGAAAGAATCCCCATGCTCTCTTGGGATTTTCCAAACTTTGACAAAAATGGAGTGATCAGAGCCCAGGTTGCACAGCAAAAAGTAAAGAGAAAATTAGCACATACTTAGTTAATTTATTCAAAAACTACTAATCTGACATTCATATAATAAAAATTAGCTAGTAAGGCTCTAAGGAAGTGGAGGGATGTAAGACTGGAGATCCAGGCATGAAGTGAGGTCACGTCCAGCCTGAGTCCCCATTCTTCCCTCATTCCATGCCACCTTTACGATATCTGCCATGGCCACACACCATTTGTACTAGTATTCATAGTTTTATTTAAATTGACTTCCTTTTTAACTTAAATAAAATGTTCTGTAAAAGGAAATGGGGATGGGAAACTAGAATCTCAACACAGTTAAAAGTTAACAGTAGAAATAAACACAATGAAAACAAAATTAGCTTGAAAAATCAGATTTATTGTTACCATTGCTGTAATTCCCTGAGAAGTTATTAAATCACCTTTAAAATCTTACACTAAATGCATTTATCATGAAGATTAAGATTAAAACAAGCTATAGTTCTATTTCTGTTATCGACTCTTACTACGCTTATAATATCTGATAACAATAATCCTCAGGAAATGAGGGTTTATGCTCATATTTTAGGGATATTTCTTTTGCTTATATATCTCTCTCTTCACAAGGAGGGAAGATTGACACCAGTAAAATGGATACAGTTTTGGGAAATATGGGCATGAACCTCACTGAAACGGAGCTTAAAGATCTGACACAAAGCCTGCCAGTTGATGGTGAGCATTTTAGATATCAGTGAACCCTGCAGAAAAACATAGCCTTATAAACTTATTTATAAGAATCATTAAAAATGTTTATTGGTATCAAGAAGGTATTCTGAGAAGCTTAGAGGAAAAACTCAGATCTAAAGGAAGAACATATCCTGTCTCTTGCTAGTTGTATGTGCAAATTAGAGAAAGATTTCAAAATCTCTCTCCTCTGCTCACTTTTTCCTTATTCTCCCTATAAGATAGGAAGAATTGATAGGTATTGCTCAAATTCCTTGCTATTTTCTCAAAAATGAATAATGTGAGCATGTTGTTTCAAAGAAAACAATTGATTGCATTTTCTGCCTGTGGTAAAATTTGAGATATCAAGCAAAATTTGAATTTTAGAAAACTTGTATCTGCAACGATGAGCTTGGTGGTTTCAGAATACTTAAAGACTTTTTACATTAAATAGATAGTGATCTTACAGAATGTGTTTTTTTTTTTTTTATAATGAAAAGTGTCAATATTTGTAATACCTTCCTAACTCGGTGAACCTGTATTTTCTAAATTACCAGTGCATGGTGTTACCAAATCATGCATGGGTAAAGGATTCATTCAAAGTGCAACATGGATCAATAGTTCATTGATGTGGTTTCAGTATCCACACTGCAAAAAACTTTGAAAAAACTATTTGTCCCATTTTGGTGTAGTATCAAAGAAGATCTATAATTATCTTAAAATGTTATTTTATAAAATATTCCTCTATATTGAACTACTTCCAACTATATATTTCTGTGAGGTCAGATTTTCTTCATTTACTTCAACCCAAACAACAGATCATAACAAATTGACTCCAGACTAAGGTATGAGAATCCAGCGCTCTTCTATTAAGCCAGGCACGTGCAAGATTATACATCTATTCTTCTCACTAATTTTTTTGTTTTAGAAAATATAGTTTTTTAAAATAAAGAACATATTAGTTTAACATATAATAGGTTACTTATTGTTGTGAAATGACTCAGTCAATAAATAATTTTTAATTTCTTTCTTTTAATTTCTAATATGCTAAACAGCAATAGAGTTAACCCACATAAATGAAAGGTCTATTTTTTTGTAAAGGTATACGGGATGTCTGACATCAAAAGGTTTGAGAACTTACTGCTCTTTAGCAACAGCTACAGCAACAGCTCTCTTCAGGTTCTAATAATCACTCCCTTTCTTTGCTCTTTCAGGTCTAGGGGCAGGCAGGGCTAACTGCTCCCCATTGTTCCAGCACCTATACTCCCAGTTAGTGTTTTATCATCTCTTGTTTCCTTTTTACAGTGCCCATGTTGTTGTTGTTGTTGTTAGGTGCCGTCAAGTCAGTTCTGGCTCATAGCGACCCTACGTACAACAGAACGAAACACTGCCCAGTCCTGCACCATCCTCGTGATTGTTGTTATGTTTGAGCCCATTGTTGCAGCTACTGAGTCAATCCATCTTGTTGAGGGTCTTCCTCCTTTTCACTGACCGTCTGCTTTACCAAGCATGATGTCCTTCTCCAGGGACTGGGCTCTTCTGATAACATGTCCAAAGAATGTGAGATGAAGTCTCACTATTCTTGCTTCTAAGGAGTATTCTGACTGTACTTCTTCCAAGACAGATTTGTTCATTCTTTAGGCAGTTCATGGTATATTCAATATTCTTTGTCAACACCATAATTCAAAGGGGTCAATTCTTCAATCTTCCTTACTCATTGCCCGGCTTTTGCATGCATATGAGGTGATTGAAAACACCATCGCTTTGGTCAGGTGCACTTTAGTCTTCAAAATAACATCTTTGCTCTTTAACACTTTAAAGAGATCTTCTGCAGCAGATTTGACCAATGCAATGCATCTTTTGATTTCTTGACTGCTTCCTTGGGTGTTGATTATGGACCCAAGTAAAATGAAATCCTTGACAACTTCAGTCTTTTTTCCGTTTATCATGATGTTGCTTATTGGTCCAGTTGTAAGAATTTTTGTTTTCTTTATGTTGAGATGTACTCCATACTGAAGGCTGTCGTCTTTGATCTTTATCAGTAAGTACTTCAAGTCCTCTTCACTTTCAGCAAGCAAGGTTGTGTCATCTGCATAACACAGGTTGTTAATGAGTCTTCCACCAATCCTGATGTCCCGTTCTTCTTCATATAGTCCAGCTTCTCAATTATTTGCTCATACCAGTGGCCATACCTTTGTAAATAAATCCTTCATTCCTCACTACCCTATTTCAAGATGCCATCTTTTTCCTGACGGAACCCTGACTGATATGGTTCCTTTTCTTTTCCTAATCTTGAATGTTTTATACTCACTTTTCTTAATCAGGCCTATGCAACCTAAATACATTTTATTAATTTTTCAAAGGACTATCTTTTGGAGTCCTTCATCTTTTAATTATCTTTTCTCTAAGTTTTCTATTTTCATAATTTTTCTTTTTATCTGTATTATTTTTAACCTCATAGTGTTTATTCTTTGTTGTTGTCACACTCCACCCCAGAAGTGTTCAGTTTCCTTTTGTCTTTCTGCTTTAATAATGAAGGTGATTAAGGCTCCGCATTTTCTTCTGATTACAGCTTCCAGAAGTCCTTTGGGATTCAATATGAAGAGTTCTCTAGTCATTACTTTCTTAGAAAGCTTGTAATTGATGCAAGGGTTATCTAGGAGTGTATTTTCTTAATTTCCTCTTCTACCTTCTCATGAACCCAAAACCAAACCAAATCCATTGCTGTCGAGTATTTCAACTCATAGCAGCCCTATAGGACAGAGTAGAACTGCCATATAGGGTTTCCAAGGCTGTAATCTTTACAGTCTTGCAAAATTCTATCACACTATCTCCAGCATCGTTTCTATCACTAAAGCCATATTTTCCAACTACTGAACCTTCTTGTTTCCAGCTTTTGCATTCCAATCACTGGTAATTATCAATGCATCTTGACTGCATGTTTGATCAATTTCAGACTGCAGAAGTTGGTAAAAATGTTCAGTTTCTTCATCTTTGGCCTTAGTGGTTGGTGAATAATAGTCATGTTAACTGGTCTTCCTTATAGGCGTATGAATATTATCCTATCATTGACAGCATTGTACTTCAGGATAGATCTTGAAATGTTCTTTTTGACAATAAACGCTACATCATTCCTCTTCAATTTGTCATTCCCAGCATAGTAGACCATATGATTGTCTAATTCAAAGTGGCCAGTACCAGTCCATCTCAGCTCACCAGTGCCTCGGATACCGATGTTTATACATTCCATTTCATTTTTGATGACTTCCAGTTTTCCTAGATTCATACTTCGTGCATTCCACGTTCCTATTATTAATGGATGTTTGCAGCTGTTTCTTCTTATTTAGTCATGCCACATCAGCAATTGAAGGTCCCGAAAGCTTGACTCCATCCATGTCGTTAAGGTTGACTCTACTTTGAGGAGGCAGCAGCTCTTCCCCAGTCATATTCTGAGAGACTTCCGACATGAGGATGGTGCAGGACTGGGTAGTGTTTCATTCTGTTGTACGTAGTGTCCCTATGAGTCAGAACTGACTTGACGGCAGATAACAACAATAACAAATCCTTACGGGAGCAGACTGCCACATCTTTCTTCTGCAGCACCACCAGGGCTGTACCTTCTCATAAAGGAAGTAACAAAAAGGCTAAGTTTTCTAGAGCAAATAAACATTGCTAATTTCTTCAACTGTGTGCAGCATCATTTTCTTAGCCTCATTCTCATTTTTCTGTTCAATTTGTTTCTTGTCTTACAGTTAATGGTAAGGTTGATCTGAAAAAGGTGATGAATGGAGTGAAGACTTTTACAGGTGAGTGACACATTACTAAAACATTTATAATTGAATTTTAACCCTATATTGTATTTTGTATGGTGTTTTGCGAGTATTACATCATAAGCTTATTAATGCTGACATTTTACATATTTATAATGAAATATTTACATACAACTTTTCTTCTGCCTTGGACTTCGAATTATCTAGAATTTAGCCATAAAAATAAATGGCTATGTTTGAGTAAAAAATTGTATTTTCTATAGTTCTGATTAGTAATATGTTGATCTTAACCGATGTTTAAATCAGAGGTCACTAATTGGCCACCCGTGAGTTGAATCCAAACTGCAGCAAAGTTTTGTAAGGTCTGGCGACACTAGCTATATGTTCCCTCACAACAGTAGCTGGTGTTTTTTTCTCTTTGGACAAGGCATGTGATCTTCACTTCACCACAGCCAGTTTCACTCAGTTCTCTACTTCAGGCTCCTGTAAGCTTTTGTGTCTATAACTACTGGTTTAAATAGGCAAAATATAAGTAGGCACAGCAAATAGGGAAGTGAATACTGTTAAAGAATTAAGTTGTTAAAGTTGCTTTAAATTATAATCACATAATTCAGCACTTAAAAAAATATTAGATGAGTTCTGGCAAAATGGCACTCTAGGCAGAAGCACCACGCCATCCCTCCACAGCAAAGATCTGAAAAACTAAGCCGAACAGAGAATACAACAATCCTGAAACCCTACAACATCAAATGAAGAGATAAAGAACTCAGCCAAGCACCAAATGGAGTGAGAAAACTGACAGAGAATGGAGAGCGAGGAGAGATTCATGCAGAGG